CTGAAAGTGTTGCCTCACAGTCTGTATATAAACTCTGAGCGTCGTTCATCACCATGGACACTGGGAAAATAACACCTTTTGATTACCTGTTTGACTAATTAGGATTTAATGTCTTCAAAGTTAGTTTTTTTTTCTCCCGGTACTTCTGTGCCTGACAGCAATTACCTCTCCTGTATACTTCCGCTATGAGCCTCTCTAGTGTTCAACCTTTACTGCTTTCCCTGAAGGAGTCTGTTTTCCACTGAATCTTAAAAAACCTCACACTTCAGCTCATGTATAATAGAAAATGTAGAGAATTTCAAAGACTTGTGTACTTTATAGTTAAACGCTGAGTGTATGAATTGATAAAAAAAGGCTGGTTGGATAGAGCTAAGATGTTTAATAAAGCTCAGTCTGATGGGGGGAAAAAGGAGGACAAAGAGAATAAAAGATATTAAAGACATTAAGCATAATATGTTTGGACACCGAGGCAGTTATTGTGAAGCTCAGTCTATTGTACCACTGGGTCATTATGCAATAACAAAGAGCGAGCAGAGAAGATATACCTTACATCATCCCTCAGGGTGATGATGCAGGGCGGTGAGAATGAAAGAGAGGAGCAGGAAGATAGAAAGACAGAAAGAACAGCAGAGAGAGAAAGACAAGAGAGTGTAGGAAGAGGAAAGAGTTATAGGTGAACAAAGAGAGAGAGAGAGAGAGAGAGAGGGGAAAGAGAAAACGATGAAGTGGGAAGAGGGATGCAAGAGAAGCTGAGGGGTTGAGAAGAAAGAGAAGATGAGAGAGGAGAGGAAGAGAGACAATAAGGAGGAGTGGAGAGAATAAGGGAACAGTAGAAGACGGGGTTATAAAAGGAAACAAATGATGATGAAAGAATTTAAAAAAAGAGGATGGCAAAGTTAGACAACATGAGAGAGGAAGAAAGGAGACAAAGAAGACGAGGTGAGGAGAAAAAGATAGATGGGTGAAGTTGGAAACCTGGAGAGCACGATAAAAGAAAGAGAGAGGAAGGGATGATAGGAAAAGAGAAGAGGGAAGAGGTAAGGACACATGGGAGAGGAGAGACAGGGAATCTGAGGAAGATGGAGGTGTGTGTGTGTCGGGGGGTAGGAGGAGGAAGGGAGGGAGGGGGTATCCCGTAGGGTTAATTACATCTCTGTTCTCTGTCAGTGTGGTTCGCTCCTCTGCGATCTGAGTCCCTGCTGCAGGCTGACAGGCCACACACACACACACACACACACACACACACACACACATATGCACGCTAATACAAACCCACAACCTCATAAACACAGATAAATACACACAAACATCCGTGCACACTTGTGTATCACGACACACAAACAGAAATGTTCTCTGTCTCCTCCTTTTTGTCTTTCTGTCACCGTGTCTCCTCTCTCTCAATTTCTATCTCTATCTCTGTCACATGTACACACACACACACACACACACACACACACACACACACACATTGTAACCCACCGCAGCCTGTCCCAGGAGAATATGCGTTGTTCTGTACAGAGTTATACATGAAGAAGAGGGCCCCCGCTCGTAATAGCTGTTAATTTTGCATAAATCATGCATAACATGACCCACATGTAAATCACTCATGTCAGCAGGATATCACATCCCAGCAGCTCCTTCTTCTTCTTTCTTCTCATTTAATAGCAGCAGCTCCATTTCCACTGTTTCGTTTCGGCTCCTTTGTTTGTCTGCGACTCGTGCAGATGAGAGAGATGCACAAGGTCCCATCCAATGGAAATAATAGTTGTTAAAGTGTGAAGGTTTAGAAAATAGTCATCTTTTATTTTCTTGCAGTTTCGTCAAGGTTTTCTAACTTTTTCTGAGTGAAGTACATTCATGACATTCTTTGTGTTCACCAAGTGGTATGACTGCTATTTGGTTGCAGTCTTTTTGAAATGCAGCTTCTTCACCTTATTGACTCTTAAAAAGAGTATTACAGGACAACAATGGACATTCAAAGTCTATCTAATATTCAGCCCAACTTTTTTTTTTCTTGCTCTGCTTAGAAGACTTTGAAAACATTTCCTTCACACATTTTTATTTTAACATTTTTGCTAAGTTTGAAACTATACTGTAAAACTTCAAATAAAAGCCCATCCCAATTTCAGGCCCAGTCCCTCTTACTAGCCTGATGTTCAGTGTTGTTTAAGGAGAAACACAGCACAACACCAAAAAAAAAGATGAACTACATCACCTGTCCAAGAAAGACAGAAATATGCTTTTATGTAGGCCTTACAGCATGGATAGCAAGACTGCTAGCAGCGGAGTGACAGACTCTGACTCCATAATGTGAGCCTTTGCCTTTTTATCAATGCTACGTGCAATCAGACATATTCACAGCATCAATGGACGAGTAGAAACAAAGTTACTGGGATGCAGAAAAAAGTATAAAGCAACTTCATTACAAACATGAAAGATGGCACTGGTCAACTGGACTTGACATGATCATTTAACCCGGGGAAGAAGCAGGAAAAAGTCGAGGTGATAATTGAAGCTCCCAAAACGTTTTTTCAAGCTAGCATCACTATTGTAAAAGAAGCACAGCGGAAATCTAAGATGGCAGCGACATTCGACAGTCTGACACTTTGTCAGTCTTTGACTTTGAATCAATACCACGTGCATCAGTGGACGAGATGAAGAGAACACACTGACAAGCAGAACATGGAGCAACCTGAACACAAAACTCGTAAGGAAGTAATAAAGATCCATGACTTGAATTAAACTGGTCTCATAACACTTTTAAAAAGTTGTGGTTTATATGAGGAACCATTGCTGTTTACATTGGTGAGCTGCCAACTGTTGGTCAGTTTAACTTGTCTGATTTCATACTTTTTAATAGCTGCATTAAAGATGTTTGAAAAATAATATATAAATATTCACCAAATTGCAGCTTGAAAGAAAAAAAAAATTCAAGTTATATATGTATGGGGGATGATATTTCAGAACTGCATCATCTTCTTTATCCTTTGACAGAAAAAAACAACAACCAAACAACTGCAGTAGTTAAGAGTTATAAGGAGGATTTCTCTTTTAACTTCAAACAGATACAGCGGCTCCATCAGCTCTCAGTCACAGCAGTCGTCTTCCTGATTCAGTATTCAAAAGGAAAAAGTTGACGAAACATCAAAGTGCTCCCTGTGAAGTCGGAAGATTCCACGTCTACGTTAAAGGAAGCCTTCTGCACAAATAACATGACAGGTCGTGTAATCCTCCTGACAAATCAGTGAATCTCCCCGTTGTTTGCACCTTTGTGCTTGAATCCCGCTGAGACGTGTCCCTCAGAGCCACGGCCTGCTTTATTAAGCAGTTTTGCCTTAATTAGCTAATAGGATTGTTTTAACCATGATCCAAGAACAGAACAGCCCACGGGAAGACAAACACCAACTGTGTGTGTGTGTGTGTGTGTGTGTGTGTGTGTGTGTGTGTGTGTGTGTGTGGTGTGCATGCTGAATGACTCAACACATGTAAGTGAATGAGTGAAGTGTGTGAGTGCATAAACTGAGTGTGAAGAAGCTGTGCAGAAGCTGCTGTTTGTGCGAGTTGAGTCTGGTGTGTGTGTGTGTGTGTGTGTGTGTGTGTGTGTGCCCGTGCACGTGTGTGTGTGCATGTGTCATCTAAGGCACCACAGTCGTCTTCTTCTTCTTCTTCTTCTTCTCTCCCTTAATTAACACGCCTTCTCGCAAGACTTTCTCTGGAATATGAAACAATTTTACCTGATGATGCAAACGGCTGCAAACAGCAGAAAGAGGGTTAGTGCCTCGCCTCCTCACCTGACACTTTCTCTTTATGTGAGAGCGCTAATGTATGCCGGCGCTACACTTGTAGTTTTTATATCCCGTGTATTTTAGTGGCTCTGCAATCGCCCAAAAGGCTTATTTTGCTGGAGGAAATGTGAGTGTGTAAGCAGAATCCTTTGTACTGTGTGATGAAAAAGAGCAGGCTGTATCACAGCTTGGCAAGGATGGTCGTACCCACACACACATACATGCACACATACATCTATGCAGGCACATACACTTTGGCTCGCAAATGCCCACGCAGAGACACACGCAGGCCCCGCTGAAGTCCAGGGGAAAAACTTGAAAAGGGGGCAAGGAGGAGGAGACAAAACAGGCAAAAAGCACGGAGGAATGACGGATATGCAAATCCAGGCAATCGAGCTCCGGGTCCACTTAAAAACAGAAATCATTGAAAATACTTTTCACTGGAATAAATTACCAATATCAGGTGCTGTGCAATCTATCCGCAGGATTTCACACTTGATCTTTGAGGGATTGTATTTTTTTTTTTTTTTAAGATTTATTTTGGGGCTTTTTGGGCCTTTAAAGGCTTTATATGTGATTTTTTTACACTCAAAGGGATACTTCACCCGTTGAAACATGAATCTGTATTGTATGTAGTAGAAATGTGAAGTTGGTGCCTTCTTGGCCAAGAAAAGGCAGAAAGTGTCTTTTTGGCTATGTGGATGAAAGACACCAAATCCCAGAATGCACAGCACCGCAGTAATTTGAGTAATCCCTGCAAACAACCAAAAAAGTGCACCCTAAAAGAACCCAAATCCACATCCCCATTATCTGAGAAAGATAATATTGTAAAATCTAATTCAACAAAGGTATTTGTTTTCAAACCCTCATAACTTAAGAGCATCTTTAATTATGTTTGGTGAAGGTTTACAAGTCTGTCATATATTATGTTATAGTGTGAGATCAATCAAAGTGATTTGTCAGACTCTTGACGCTCAAGGTGAATTGGATTATTCAGAGTACAGGTTCCTTTTAGTAAAGTGTTTAGATGCAAGAGTCCCTCCATTCAGCCAAAGTGAATAAATAAAAGGGCATTAGATTTAGATCCTCATCATCCCTCAAGAGAAATTCCACTCAGACACAGGGTTCATTTTAAAACACACTCACAATAAAAAAGTAGTAAAAACACCACATACACAATAAAGACACATAATAAACCACCCCAACAGCCTCCATATGGACAAACACCAGTCGATAAGGCCGGAGAGGGACTGTGTGGCTCGATACAGTGCAATAAAAGATGGCGGCTCACGGCCAGGTCACAATGAATGGAGCTTAAAATTGATTTCTCTCTTTTTTTATTTTTGCAGTGTGGTGCATTCGCTTCTCTCAGGAGCCAGCGGACCAGTCGGTGGTGCTGGGAGAACGGGTGGTGCTGTCCTGCGTGATCTTCAACTACAGCGGCATCGTACAGTGGACCAAGGACGGCCTGGCCCTCGGTATCGGCGAGGGGCTCAGAGGTGAGGAGAGGATGAGGGAAGAGATCCTGAAGTGGGTGGGGGAAAGAAAAAAAAATAACCCCTCACAGCTTCCCCAAGCTGCAGGGATCAAAGTGAAGGGAAGAAGGGGAATAACTCAGCTACGGTTTCGGTTCAGTTTTGACTGTAAGAACCCTGACAAAAGCTATTATGCCTGAAAAGTGTAGGGGTTTTTTAACATTAAGGGAATGAACACTGTGCACAGAGAGAGAGGGAGAGTTTAAGAGCCGAGAGGCGTCTGAGTGACAATCTGGGCAAAAATGAGTCCTGTATATCATGCTGAATTAGAGAAAATCCCTCACACTGCTGACAAAAGCAGACGCACATTCGCATAAGCCGACACGCACATCCAGAGTGACTTACTGTGAGTGCAACAGAGGAGCAGAATACACTTCATTTCAAATATATGGAGGCATTAAATGCAACCAAAAGAGAGGGGAGTAAAAGGGTCAAAGCCACAATAGACGGAGAAAAGGTATTTTTCTGCATTCGGGAAATGGCTGCAGGAAGCCCTGAAGTGTTGATAATAGCAGGAAAGAAAGTACCTGTGATCATTGTGGCTTTCTGAATGTTGAAATTGATCGACTGAGCTACTCACTGCTTTGCTTTCTGCCAATGATGAATTCTTGTGGAAAATCATTTCAGCTAGTGAAATTATCTTTTTGACTTTGTTGGTTGAGAAAATGAACAAATTCAGTACTTAAGTGAAATCTCCTCAGGTACAGTTATAGAATGGGTTTTAAAATGTAAGCCTGTTAGGGTCCTGTTATTTAATCGCTTTGATGCTAATCTCCAAACTCATCGTAATCATCTCTAGTTCAAGTCAAGGCTTCCTTTTCCGTGCGCTGCTTGTTAAAAGTCCAATAAGCAACCTGAGATGTGACGACGTTTTCTAATATAAAAAAAAAAGGAGTGAAATACACCCCACCGATATCTCTGCAGAGTAAACAACGTAACCTCTTAGTTCATTACATATTGCAGAGTAGCACCTATTCAGCTGTTTCTAATGAGTCTCATTTTACTGTCAATAATAAGTCACACAGAGGCTTCACTCGGACTCATTTAAGCGGATGAACCCGCTTGTGATTTGTTTAGAGGAGTCGTTTGTAATATGAAGGTCTGATCCTGACCTCTGATCCATTCCAGGGAGTCGGGGAAATTCAAACACTGATTAGCTTTTAAAACAGTGTCAAGCTGATTTATTACTCAAGTTAAAAGTTGAGCTGTACTTTCAGGCAGATGTGTGTTTACGGAGATGAACAAATATCTCATAAAAACACACATCTGCTTCCTTTTGCGTTCCATAGGTGCTGTGTTTCCTGTATAAAGTCTGCTGACACATGATTTGTCAATACAACTTGGACTTAAACAAACACCAGAACACTTCTCATACCAAAGTTCGGTCCTGCATGTGCCAATTCTGCATGTTAATGTAGAATCTGTAGACAAATCTGTAGAGATTACAATGATACTAATGCGTTGTTGTGTCGTCAAAGCTTAATTTATTAAATGGTAATTGGACATGAGCTTGTATAGTACTTTTCTAGTCTTCTGACTACTTAAAGCACTTTTACACCGCAGGTCACACCGATGGTAGAGGCTGCTATTTAAAGTGACCATCAGAAGTAAGCTGGGGATCGAACCCTCAACCTTCTGTTGAGAGATGACGACTCTACCAAATGAGCCACAGCCGCCACAAGTCACTCAGTACAATAACAAACGTTTTAGTTTTGTCTGAACTAAACTTTTATTCTAAATGGGACCTAATGGCGATTCTTCGGCTTTTGCAGCCAGCCTCAAGTGGACACTCGAGGAACTGCAGTTTTTTTGTGCTCTTCCACATTGGCTTCATTTTTCAACACTGGAGACTCCAGCTTCAACACATCATATGAAACATCATGTCCATATTTGGTTCCAACACTGATTTAGGTTAATGCTTGATGGGCTCAGTTCAGGTCTCAAGATGCAAACTTTTCTACACATTAGGGATCAGCGCAGAGGTTTATTTTGCAATCATCTTCATTATTGCACGCATGCACAGATCATCACAGGGTCTGTGGGGCAGCAAATAATGAAGGAAGTAAAGCCAGCATCAGCATTACACAAGACTTAACTCAGCTCCTTGTAATCAGGTAAGGACTTTATCGATGACAAGGTGCAGTGGACTGCTGTGGTAATGCTGTATGCATTTGTTCAAGGACAAAGAGTATGACATCTTGTTTCCTAGGTTTTGTGTTTGTAAAGTTTGAGTTTCAGACTTAAATGTCACGTCAAGTACAAAGTTTGTCTTTCATTAATATCCAAAATACGCCTGCAGCTGTCAGTGCCGTTAGACGAACCTTTCATTACACACCGAATCCCCTATTTTTAAAACAATCAGAAAATTCAGAGTAAAAGAAAACATTCATTTGAATATGGAAAATGTCACAGATATTTACAGAACAATCTAATAACGCTCCTACTAAAATGTAACACTAGAAACGCTAATACAACAATAGACGTTGCGTACTTTGTAACCTTTCTTTTAGATGTGAACACACATCTTATTTCTCATCACACTGTCAATGAAAAGCTAACCACACACATTGTATATCACAACACATTCATCACATCATCATCCTCCCTCACAGACACACACACACACACACACACACACACACACACACACAGTAGAGACACATGCACACTGTCACACTGGTGATGATCTGACATGTGATCAGAATCTTGTGTTCAACTCAGTTTAATTCACAGGTTCAGTAAAGGTCAGCATGTCTCTCTCTCTCTTTCGTTCCTTGTCTTCTCTATCTTCCTGTTTCTGCATTTCTTTCTCTCTCTCTCTCCCTCCCTCTTTCATTCTCCTTATCTCTCTTTCACTCACGCTAGCAATCTTTCTCTCTTTTGCTCTCTGCCCTTTTCTCTCATTCCTAATCACTCTGTATTTCTCTCACTATGTCCCCCTCTCCCTTTTTCATGTGTCTCTTATTTCTGTCACTTTCTTATAGGCCTACTCTTTTCTTTCCTAGTATCTCTCTTTCTCTTTGTCTCCCCCCTTTTCCTGCCTTCCTCATAATTCCCCTCTCTCCTGTCCATCTCTAGTTCTCTCTATTTGTCTCTCTCACTTCTCCCTCTCTCTCTTTTCCTCCCCATTATCTATTCCTTTTCTCTCCCTCTCCTTTTTTAATGTCTCCTGGTTCCTTTTAGTCTTCCTCTCAATCTGTTTTCATCTCTTCATTTCTCTCCCTGTCTTTTGTCAGTCCTCCCTATAATCCATGTTTCTCTGTCTCCCCCTCTCTCTTCTCCTCCCTCACTCCTTTTAATTCCCGCTCCTCCGTCTTTAAAAACTCCTGCTCCATCATTTTTTGCTTTATGCAGATCCTCCCCATTGCTTTCTTCCTTCCCCATCTCTCCTCTCCTCTTTTTTCATCTCCTCCCTTCCTCCTCCTCCTCCTTTCCCTCTTTCTCCTGCTAATGCTCTCTTTGTCCTTGTAGCCTTCTGCGAGCACAGCTCTGCTGACAAACACACCGGCGTTTGATAAACACGTTGTCCTCTTTGTCTCTTTTTCTCTGCTTTTCAGTCATCCATCATCACCTTCTGTCCATTACTTATCCTTAAGTCGTCTGTGCTGCCAGTCGTCCTCTCATCCCTGACATACTGTCTCTCAATCTTTCCTGCTCCTCGTGTTTTATAGTGTGAGCACAAAGTCATGTCTTAATGGAGGGAAGTGCGTGCGCTGTTAAAAGTGTTGTTTGCGCCAGCACACGATATTAATGCACTCTGATCTGATGAGGCATCGGCGGTGCATGAAGTCTGACATATTAGAGCGCGTTGTTATGTTGCCCTGTGTGATTTCATACAGCTGTTGATGACAGTGTGGGAGTGCAGATTGAGCTGTGAATTCATACCTGCAGTTTGCACGCCCACACACACGCAGGAGATGTATTTCAGAAACTGGCGATAAACACGCACAGGATTGCATGTAAACAAAACTCATGCAATTTTAACACAACCCTTGAAGTCTAAACATGATGACATGCATGGATCATGTTTGCATGTGTCACTGCAAACAGTCCACAACAAATGTGCACACATCCTGCAGGCATCAGTTTATTGTTCATCCTCCACCTCCTCCTCCTCCTCCCTTCTTCTTCTTCTCCTTTTCCTTCTCCCCGGGGTGCTTTCACCTCTGTGGTTGCTATGCTGCGAGGTGCTGGAGTGGATGATGTAATCTCCACTAATACTTTTGCCCCCCCCCCCCCCCCCTCCACCCGCACCCTCCTTTCTCCTCTACGCACCCCCCAACTCCCTGCTTCCCCGCCTGCCTTCCTGCTGCCGCTGCCATCTGAATCCATGATGTCATGTTAGGATTGGGCACGGAGGATCAATGAGTGCCCCCTAGTGGGACGTCACGCTCAATTATGTCTTTGTCTGAGAGGCGAGGGGTTCAAACAGGGAGAGGGGGGGGGTGTTGTAATTGGAACGGAGCTGCCTGTAGTTCCACAGTGTGTGTAGCATACAGGAATTGATGGCATCATTGTATATGTGTCAATGTTTGATCTGTGTGTGTGCAGGAACCCTCCAGCTGTTTGTGTACTGGGTGCATGTTGATGATTGTGTGTTGTTGTTTTGTGATTCAAAAACGTTTTTTTTTCAAATCTTTTAAAATAAATGTGATTAATGCTAATGCTCTCCTCGCATTATGATGAAGAGCTTTGACATTTTCACATAAACGCAGGTCCTGTTTGCTTCACTCTCGTCTCTGATTGATGGAGCTAATGCAATTTATTTCTTTCAAACGAGCTTTGATGTTTTCTTTTTGTTCTTGTGAACGAGTCAGGTGTCACAGAAAACAAAAATACAGTTACTGACGGTGAATAAAAAAAAAACGTGAAGAGTTGAGATGATCTCATACCACTTCCTTCCTTTCTGTCCAGACTCTCATTCGGATACAAGGGTGTTGGCCAACACATTATTCCTCCAATACCCGTTCAAAACATCCATATTATTAATATTAGGGATGGACAATATAGACCAAGTGACAATTTGAAAGTCACAAGGAATTATTCAAAGATTTTTATAAATTAATGACTATTTGAATATTAGAAAACCATGATCTTTCTCCAATAAATATCAGAGATTATATTAGCTTTCACAAACATTACACTCTCTACTTACACCATACTTCTGTTGTGTCTGGGATAGCTTTTGCAATCTGATCATATCATTGGTTGATATCAAAACAGATCCAATAACCCCCAATTCACACATACTCTGTGCGCATTTAACCACAGGCTCTTTTGTACACAAGTTCTCTGTCGCCAGTCACAATAATCTGAATAAACTCATGTCGTATATGATGTGCCCTTATTTGCATATCTTGTTATGTGTGCATGCTTACTATTATGAGGTGCGTGATGATACCTGATTTCAAAATCAGTTAAGATTCTCCTGTATACAAATGATTTATATCAAGGTAAAACTCATGAGACTGCAAATATTTTTTATTGTTTGTTTTTTTTGCCTACTGAGCTTGTAGTTGGTCCTGTGTGGTACAATTATCACACCGTGTTTCATAAGACCTCAATATCATCAAAATACTGTCCCAACTTAGTAAAGACATCACAAAAAAGAGCTTAATTTCAACCAATATCCATATTTTATTCATTTCCAAAATATCATATTTACAACACAGAATAATGAAAACGGTAACATAAAGCACAAAACAAATCGCGTAGTGGCTTTCTGTTCAGGTCCGTCTCCTCGATAGCGACACCGACAGCTGGAAAGACAAAAAAAAAACTGTTAAAGTTTAAGATAGCAGTAGCAGAGTAGTTAATAGAAACCAGGAATTACATGAAATGTTGACTTCTGTGGGTGTTTTAAAATTATATAAATGTAAGTAATTGTAGTTGAATATGTTCTGTGTGATGTGTTTAATTAAATTAGTTGTTTCAGTTAGCGTTTGTTCTTCCTGTGCTGTTTGCCTTTTAATTACCTTTAAATTGATTTGATCTACATCTGTATCAGTATTAGTGATATTACTTTAAATTAATTTGTAAGGTGCCCAATAGTTCCAAATTGTTATATCTTTATTTTGTTCTTAGCCGTTTTCAAATGTTCTCCTCTTCACTCCATCTGCCTTTTCTATTGGACGCAACAACAATCAGCTTCTTAACAACAGAAGCGTTACCTCTGTTATTGAACTGATGATGTATTTTCTACTACAGACTGTGAATAAAAAGGGACTACTTCTTTTAAATCCTAGAATTTTAGCAAGGTGAGAGCCTTTATAATTAATACATTTAATAATTTATCCATTGATTATCTATATTTACGGGCAATTTGGATTGATCAAATAACCTAACACGCATGTCTTTGGTCTGTGGGAGGAAGCCAGAGCACCCGGAGGGAACCCACACATGCACGGGGAGATCATGCAGACTCCACACAGAAAGGCTCCTGGACTTCCAGGGTCTGGAACCAGGAACCTTCTTGCTGTGAGGCGGCAGCGCTAAGCACTGCACCACCGTGCAGCCCAAAAAATTGAAGACGCATTATGGGTCAAAGACGCATAATGTATCTCATCCTCAATCGTGAATTGAAGTGCCTTAATATACACAGTAACAGTCATGGCTAGCAGAGGAGTGAAAATAGAGATTTTACAAATATATTCTTTGTTCCGGCGTACTGTGAAAAACGTTGTGAACCCTGAACCGTGAGATCTGTGATCTATTGTGCCCCTATAATAACAGACCCAACATTATTCCCTATGAGCAAGGGGTATAGTGGCAAGGAAACGTCCTAATAACAGGAAGAAACCTCAGGCAGAACCAGACTCATGGTGATCTGCCTTGACTGTGTTAGGCTGAGAAAGATTAAGAGAGCGAAATGTAGAAAGAGAGCGGTGGATAGAAGTCCTCCTTTGTGGGCTTCTGGTCTGCTCTTCTTCTTCTTCTGTTCTACATCTGAAAAAGTCAGACAACGCAGGTTAGTGGCACTATTCTCTCCTTCCTGTGGTACAGAACAAAATTGTGTTCGTGTGATTGCAGAGTTAGAGCTTTTTCTTTACCTGCTTCACGTAAAAGAGCAGGTAGGCCATCTTGCGCCGCCTGTGGCACACCGCTCGACCTGTTGTTTCACTGACTTCCTCGTCATTGAAGGTCAGCCAGCGGTCGCTCTCGCCTCGCAGTCTCTTCTGTCCGTGTGCAGCATCGCATATATAATGGCCTGAGAGGACAGGGGATGTTTTTTAAAAGTTACACCTAGAGGAACATTGCAATCTTAAACGTCAAGAAAAACATTATTATAAAGACTTACCAGAGTCTGCTGTTGATCCCAGATGGCTTATCATGCTCACCAAAGAGTATCGAGTGGGCGTCTAAAAGAGAACACAGACACCAACATTTAGTTACACATGCAGAAACATTTAATGGTGGATATTTGATGCCTTGAAGTCCAGCAAATAAAAAAGCTGTTCGATGAAACGTCATATTTTACCTCTCCGGTGACGCATGATTCTGGGTTCACCATCAGCTCCGGCGATATATCGACGGGCCTGTTCACCTTCTCTGCGTGGAAGGACTTTGTGAACCTAAAGCGCTGCAGCTGCAGGATCAGTACACTGTTGAGGAAGTAGGGAAGAGAGTCAGATTTGAGTACATATGGGACGAGAAGGAGCAAAAGTGATTTTTAGCCTGAAATCTGTAACTGTGCTGATGGGTGAAAATACTCACTTTGGCAGTGTCAGAAAAGACCACCTCCGGGTTGACTCCTTGGCGTTACACTCACAGTGGAATTCAAGGTTGGTCTCCTGTAGAGGGGAACAGATGCAAGAACAAGGTTTTAGTTTACATTTCTTTAAAAAATCACTCTGACAAATTCTCTCATACACATAAAAAACATGCAAGGCTGATGTGATAGCAGCTATATAACTTACTTTCAGGCACTCCTGCAGGCACTGGCTCACAGAGCCTCCTTGCACCAGGTCCAAGGACAGGTTCATGAAGTCCTCATCCCTTATCGATTCTGAACCACATCTGCAGAATAAAAGGTACAATTTAAGTAAATACACAGCTTCATATTGATTTGAGAGGGTTTCTACCACTGCTCTCCATGGAAACACGATGCAAACATGGATGAATCTCTAAACCCTGAGTGTTAAAACTGTGTGTGGATGTAGATTCATACCCTTTGCAGGTCCTGGTGCTCAGCATTTGGAAGACAATGTGTGCCTCCACTGGGCAGATGTAGCTCCTGTCCATGCTGATAGCTGCTGCCTGCAGGTCAAAAGACAGCGACTGTATCCCTCCCAACACGCAGCTGAGGAACTCGTGAGCGTCCTGCACACAAACACAGAACAGTTTCAGAAGAGGAAGTTTGACAACAACTGTTAAAAAAAAAAAAAAAAAAACATCAGCGTGTTGCCACACTATTCAACATAACAGCTGTTCAATCCATATTGAACTGCTGAACCTAAAAGTGGGCATTCTTTAAAAAAAACCTATTAATGTCATCTGTTTCTTCATGTTTCTACTCACTTGCTCACTAACTAAAAAGAACCGCTCACCATGCATGCAGATCTGACCCACCCATGACCTTATAGACCCAAGGCCAGTCCGAGGCCCGTTGGTGGGCGACCTCAAGTCTACTGTATTACTGTGTTAACCTCAGCACCATTGTAAAGAAAGGTCCTTCCTGAATTTGATTATAGTGATAATATATAGCACTTACTTTTTGGTTGTCGTCCTCGAATTCTATGTTCCAATCAGCGACGGTTGACTTGAACGCAGACAGGATATCGGTCTTTGCGCCCTCGTTGTTGAAAAACCGGCACATGCTGACGTTGACGAACCCCCTGGAAAGAGCAAAGGTGGAAAAGAGAGATATTGTTTTAGTTGCTGTTGTTACTTCATCTTGACTTGAAAAGTTAGCATAGATGTCATAGAGTTGTATGTGTGAGGGGGTTGTAGCGGTGCTGCACCTGATGATCTCTGACTCGGGGTGACGGCTCCACACGGGCTGCTGGTTGTCGACCTCCTGCATGAAAGGTGTCAGCGACAGGAGGCCTTGCAGGGTCGAGTTCATGTAGCATGTCTGCGCCAGGTTTGGGAACCTTAAAACACAACAAGAGAGGGGACAGAACTCAGCATGGAGTTTGAATGAATATGTATTCAACATATCCTGGAGACATTTTCTATAAATACATGAACGAACACAAGCAGTGTGTAAATGAGGTTCCGTGCAGGTACGTACCCGAGGCAGAGCTCATCTTCAGAGATAGGTTTGAAGGAAGATGGTATACTTTGTGACTCATGTGGTGAGTCCAGCAGACTGCTGGTGTCCAGCTGAATACTTCCACCCTGAACCCCTACCCTGTAATGCTTTGGTGCATCATCGCGGAGGGGTTCATCGATCACATCGCTGTCCGGTTGTTCTCCCTGAACTTCCTCGTGCTCCGAGGCTGAATCTTGCTCCTGTAGGGGTTGAGGGAAACAAAAAAGTTAAAATGCAGCAAATTTTAAACAAGTGTGGCATTAATATTCACATTACATCCTGACGTTTTCTAAAAGGTAATCTGTACTTCTACTCCAGTTAACATTTGAATTCTGTGGAACATACCGTGCTACAACAGAAGATCCGACGCCACAAAGGTTTTTTCTTTTTCTTCTTCTCTGCAGTCCTAGGTGCATCGGAGACTAAATTATCAGGGCATGTTGAAGTCTCCTAGAACATAAGAAAAAACAAATCATAAGACAGATGTAACATGAACAAAGGGACTTTAAAGATGGTCAAGGTGAGTGATGTCTTACAATAAGAATTTACAATGTCAGGGCATATTTAAATAAGATAACATAACAGTTGGCAGGGATGAGGTAATTTACTTTTACAGTCTGTTTTTTGTATATTTTTTTTAAGCTGTAAATAAGGAAATTGAGTGTTTCTGGGTTATTTGTTCTAAACTGTTATCTACTTCTGTTGAACACACCTTGCGACGACGCCACCATGGTTTCTTCTGAGCTTTGGCTCGTTCTTGCCCAGGCTCCTTGTTCTTGGAAAACAAACGACGCCACCATGGTTTCTTCTTGATCCTTTTCTCTAAAGTCTCCGGGGGATTTAGCGACTGTAGACTGTAGACACTGTCAGGGTCCTCACTGTCGTCGTTGGTGTAAGAAGCATCCTCAATGTCCTCTTCATCACTTTCTGAGTCCTCAGTAGTGTCATTAGTGGCTGAATCATCCTGAATGTTCGCTTCATCAGTCTCTGATTCCAAGTCCTCAATGTCCCATTCGTCACTGTCAGACTCCTCAATGTCCCTTTCGTCACTGTCAGACTCCTCAATGTCCCTTTCGTCACTGTCAGACTCCTCAATGTCCCTTTCGTCACTGTCAGACTCCTCAATGTCCCTTTCGTCACTGTCAGACTCCTCAATGTCCCTTTCGTCACTGTCAGACTCCTCACTCGTGTGATTAGTGGTTGAAGCTTCCTGATTGTCTGCTTCATCACTCTCAGGGTCCTCGGTGGTTTCATTGGATGCAAAAGCCTCCTGAACGTTAGTTTGGTCACTCTCAAGGATCTCGGTGGTGTCGTTGGTGGCTGCTGAAGCCTCCTCCTGAACTTCATCTTCTTCATTCTCAGGGTCCTTTGTAGCCTCAGGGCTCAGTGCAGCCTCCTGAAGTTCAGGCTCTCGACCCTCAGATTCATGGTTTGATGAACCTGCTTCGAATGTAACTTCTCCATCCTCTGTGTTCTCGGCCATGTTATTTTCCTGTTGGGTACAAAAACTCAGTTGAAGTTTAAACTGAGTTCAACACAAATGACTTCACACGTTCTGTATGTACTAATTATCTGCTAGATTTAACTGTGACAATCTCTGATTTTATTTTCTCAAATCAAATCAAACAATAATCCAGACATGATTACATTCGACAGACAAATAATCTGCTGTTCAAAGAAAAAAACATGAACACCGTCTAATTTTTTGAGCAAAGCCTTTCAGTGTTGTGTGAAATTAGCAGTTTTGACGACTGCAAAATCTTGTGCATTTACCTCCAGATGACTGGGACGAAGGTCGGACATCTTTGTAAGGATTGTTACTTCACTTGAAAATAAGTAACTTACGATGAACTAAAATCTAACGCAAATTTCCCTACTCGAACAACGAAAACGTCTTGTGTGGTTTTCTGTTCAGAAAAGCACTCCTGTACCTGGTGGTGATACTGAAGAACTGACAGTCAGTCTGCAGTGAGGAGATATTTATTAGATTCTCAGTGTAGAATGTTGGCTTTATGACCTACATACTAGAATACGAACGTGTCATAAGGGCTGTTTATTATTATGTTTAACAAAAAAAAACAAATGTTACACATCATACTTATTTGAAAAATAACATGTTTTTTTTAAACTTTTGGCCTAACTTATCTAGAACTTAGTCACAAATATGACTCTGTCACTCTTGACGTAAGCAAGATATTTAGATTATACAGCCAAGTTCTGTTTAAAGTTGACAAAATACTGTAATGTGTACAATAAAAAGAAATTGGCATTTTAAATTAAAATATGAGTTCAATTATTTATGTATCTATGCAGTGGTACTGACAGGATCATAAGTATGCACCACTAGAATCATCTGCCTGGGGGCGCTGGTGGCGCAGTAGGGTAGTGGGGCAGTGGTTAGTGCGTGCGCCCCATGTACGGAGGCCATGGTCCTCCATGAGAGCGGCCCAGGTTCGAATCCAACCTGTGGCTCCCTTCTCGCATGTTATTCCCCACTCTCTGTCTCCCTGATTTCCATCTCTATCCACTGTAATATCTCTCCATTAAAAGCACAAAAAGCCCACAAATAAATCTTTTTAAAAAATCTGCCTGCTTGTATAGATCCCATTTAATATCTAGATTACCGCTTTGCACATGTGTGCTCTAGTGAGTGTGAGAACATGAAAAGGGAGAGGATCAATCATTCAAGTTTTTTTTTTCAACATCAATGTAATAGTCGGATTAACCTCATGTATTTCTGAAGGCCATGCCCAATGACTGAACAGCAACAGTCTTATAGAGAATTTATAACTTAGAGAGAAGAAATGCAAACAAATAATGTCATTTCATTTTAGGGTTGTCAAAGGTTCCCTCCTCCAATGAGGCTCTGGGAATTCAGTCCCAGTTTACCCCCAGTGACACCAATGCAGCCCACACTTTTCCCACAGCTAATTAAGTTTTAGACACCATAAAAAAAAAAGACCAAAATATGAACCTGACGCTTTCCCTTACAGATGCATTTCCTCTTTATTCAATTTGTACTGTATATAAATATGAAATATGTTGTGTGTTACAACTTGAAACTCATCATCTGTATCTCTAAAATAAAGATCCTCAGACGCAGATTATTTGTGAAGGCAGTGCTGTTACGATGACTCATTGCTGTAATAGCGCCGCGTAATGTGCCTCTACCCTCATGCCAGCGATCATTTTAAAACAGTAGGTCGTGTTTTCCAGGTGGTACGCTATTTTTAAATCACATCCCACAAGTTCTTCCTCCGAATGCGTCAGGCTTCCCTGACCCGTAAATAAACACGGGTGACTTACAGTAGAGCTTTTAAAACAGACTCTTAACAAGCGTGTGAATCATGAAGTGAAGTCCTGTACTGAGTGTCTCTGCATTGGTTTGACTGTGTTTTTGTTTTTGTCTCTCAAGCAGCCTGGCCCAGGTACCGAGTGCTGCGGGCCCTGGACATCGGCCAGTACAACCTGGAGATCTCCCACTCCGAGCTGTCTGATGACTCCCTGTACGAGTGTCAGGCCACGGAGGCGGCGCTGCGCTCCAGGAGGGCCAAACTCAACGTGCTCAGTAAGTCCTCAGACACAGGCGTCCTCTTGATGCTGTTCATGTCTGAAAAAAAGACGATTTTATTCACATGGAGAACAAAAACGTATCAAACTAGTGAATGTAAAGTTATAACTTGTGTACCAACTTCAACTGGCTCATTACTATCGACTTAATTTGATGTGTCATGCTTACATATTTGGGTCTCCCACCAGCTCTATCAGAATCCTCGGGTTTCTTTGCTGTGGGTAAAATGATCCTAGACATATTAAAGCAAAATGTCATGTCATTAATTCAAATATACAATATTTGAGCATCTTTCAAGAGACTGTCAAGAGGTGTTTGTGTTACGATGTTATGCTCTGTACAAATCTTTTACCTATAAAGATTAGAGTAAAATATCAGATGGCGACAGCTGAGGGAAAACATCATTAACACATTAGGTTAAGTAGCTCTGGAGGCATTTCCTGACATTTTCCATCTCGTAGAGCTTCCTATCCGAGCAGTCACTTTTGGCGTCTTTATTTAAGGCGTGACCTTTTGTTTTTGGCAACAAGTGGCTCTTGTTTATGCAAAGCTCACGGATATAAACACTGGAAAAAAAAAAAGTAGGAGATATTGGAAGGAGGATTTAAAAATAACAAACAGGCACCAACAGCAAAAGGAAAAATGCTGAGCACACAGTTTCACAACTACACTGCGGCTCCAAATACCACAATGTAAAATGAAGCTCTTCATGTTCCTGTTGTTTGGTGAAAGTAGAACTGTATTTGCCAAATGTGAACGTTTAAAGACTAAACCTAGTTAAAAAATTATGTCTGCCTTTAAGAGAAAACTGAGTATTTAAATCATGCTCATCTATTTGAAAGTCTCTAGTTATACTTTATAGACTATAAGCTGTTTTCTATTGCGTATTTATGCTGTATTTCTAAATGTATAGCTTTTGCTGTATGCACGAGTGCACTTAAGCATTAATGTAACTTCCTTAAAGTGTATATTGGTGTGTGTGTGTGTCTCTCCTCCAGTTCCCCCTGAGGACCCGGTGGTCGATGGGTCCCCGGAGCTCCTGCTGATGGCTGGGACTCCGTTCAACCTGACCTGTGTGACCCGCGGGGCCAAGCCTGCGGCTCACATCCAGTGGACCAAGGATGGAGTCTTTATAGATGGGGCCTACCAGTCCACGGTGACTCACTCACACACACACACACACACACACACACACACACACACACACACACACACACACACACACACTCTTGCACATGCAGATAGACAGCAAACACACGTGTACGGTACATCATTAAAAGCAAATAAAACCATGAAGGGTTAAATAGATTCTAATGAGATCTGCTTAATTTGAAAAGCCTAAAAGTGGCTCCACGAGACTTTGAAACTCCAATTCTATCAGTAGCACTTTGCTCTTTAATAACCGCCACTCTCAGTCTGCTTGTTTGTTTAGATGCTTTTAGCTGCTGGCTTTCCAACGGGGAATTACAGTGTTTACACCTCGAGCCACAAATCACCCCAGGAGTCCTGCATTAGGCAAATACAGTATGCAGGGGAAGCAGTCTGGAGTGAAACGTCTGCAGAGGATTACTGTGGTTCTTGCTTGATAGAATGACAATGTCTGGCCAGATGGGAAACCATATTCATTTATTTAAAAAAACACCTGTAAACTGGGAACGGGTAGCAGTGGACAGCAGCACTTGTGCTTTAAAACCTGGTGGGTATAAATTTGTTCCCACACGTAAATGCATGTGGGAACAGATTCATATACAGTAGTTATTTTTACGTCATGTAAAGCTTTATTTAGAAATAGGACTGCGAACTGAATCAGAAATCCAGGAGAGAGAGAGAGCAGGGAACGACAAGCAGGACAGAAGCCACAGGTCGGATTCAAACCCTTTTTTGGAGATATACTTGTGACACTTTTGCAGTGATATATTTTGCACTCCTTTCTCCTAAATTCACACTCTGGCTGTCTCCATATACTCTCCTACACACAAAGAATTATGCCTGTAAGCGCATGCACACACAAATATGGACCCACACTCACACTCACACACAGCACACTCATGCTTTGGTATGCACACAGAGGCAGCAGCAAACAGTGACTCACACACTCACACACAGATGTTTTTTTACATCTTGCAGCCAGTTTTCTGCCCCCCCTCCCTACAGGCTCATACATATTAAATGCTGCTCTAATGTTACTGTGTTACTGACCACGCAGACGCACCTCTGTGCACGCCGCACCTCTGTGCACGCCGCACACACTTTGTGAACGGGTTCTAAAGCTGCATGGCACATCATCATGCAGCCTCCAGAATCCTAACAAGACTGAGTTGCATTTTTCTTATTGTGCAGGAAAATATTTAGATCTAATGTTTCATTGCCAATCAAAATGATTTGTCTTTCCATTTTTGTACAATCGATGAAGAGATCCTTTAATTCATAAAAAGCCACAAAAAGTGAACAATGCCCATCGAACTTCAAAGAGCACGTCTTCAAATGTCCTCTCATGTCAAACCAATTATTCAAATACCAAACTATCATTTTTTTTAAAGGTTTATTTTTTTGTGCCTTTTGTGCCTTTAATTTAGAGACAGGAGAGTGGACAGGGTCAGAAATTGGTGGATCGAGAGAGTAGGGAACAACATGCGGGTCATGAGCCCAAGGTCGGATTTGAACCCGCTTTGATGACTATAGCCTCCGTACATGGGGCACGTACACTAACCACCGGGCTACCGGCTCCCTCACATCCCACAAACTTTTTTAAAAAATCTAAAACAACATAAAAGTGAGGAAAGCGGAACATGGTAGTTTTATTCATTTAAACATTTCAGCTGTGTTGCTTCTCTCTCTTCTTCTTTGAAGTGTTCGGCTCTCATTAGGAATGCACATCTCAGTGTCATTAAAAAAACTCGGATTTCTTGTGTTAATTGAAGGAACATTTTGTCGGCAGTTATTTTCCTGCACCAACATTAAACTCCTGAACTTGAAGAGAAAGAACAAAACACGGCTTTCTACAGAATGTTAATTCTTCTTTGCACTTTTTAAGTTTCTTTCTCCGTCCTTCTTCCTTCATGTAAACTGTTTTTACCTTCAGATTGCTGTTTATTTTCTATTATATGCTTTTTTTTATCATCACTCTTGGCTTATTAGTAACCCTCTTGTGTCTCCCTCCTTTCTTCTCTTATTCCTCCCATGATCTCTCCCCTCTCCTCCTCTTTTCGTCCTTTCCGTCCTTCTCCATCCACCCTGCTCCTCCTCCTCGTCTTTGATCTTCCTCTTTGTTCACTCCTCTCCTTAAATTCTGCCTGCACCATCCTCTACTCACAACCCTTTTTTTTTTTTTCTCCCCATCACTCCTTATTTCTTCACCTTGTAGGAGGTGCTTGCAGACAGGAAGAGGGTAACGACCAGGAGCTACCTTCCCATCACGCCAGAAGACACTGACAGCGGCCGAAACTTCACCTGTGTGGCCAGCAACCCTGCGGTGCCGATGGGAAAAAGAGCCACTGTTACCCTCAACGTCCACCGTATGTTGCCCTTTTCTCCCTGTCACAGTGGCTCAGGTTATTGGGGCCAGGCTGTTTGTGTTGAGACACCTCGGAAAATCAAGCTAGGATAAGAATTAGAAGCCCCAGCATTTGTTGAACAGCAAGAAAAAAGTAATTTAATTTTTTATGTAAATCAATATACAGCTTCTATTTTTAAACAAGGTCTCGTCTAGCTCTCTGCATTGATTTGACTTCCTCCTTCTTGACCACTCATTTTCTCACTTTATCAGTTCAGCCACTTGATTTCCTTTAACATCTGGAAAAACTTGAAACTTTTCTTAGTTTCAGTCAAGTCTCCGAAGAGAGAAGTGAGGACTGATTGCTCACAAGAAAAGTGAACTTTGAGTTTTCAATCAAGAAGATTGATGTGTTTTCAAATCCAGTGTAGTCAGTAATTCCTGGAGAAAATAGCCGCAGTAACCAGTGCTGTGTTGGACGGCTGCAGCGAAGTGAAACATCAGATTTTATTAGCACATTTATAGAATGTTTGAATTATTTGTGAGGGAAATCAATCACCGTGCTGCTCGGTACTGAAATGTCTGAAACATTACAGCTATGCTATATACTTTTTTTCCCCCTTATGTCTTCAGTTGTGTATTTATCACGTGTTTCCCTCCATGCAGACCCTCCGATGGTGACCCTGTCCATCGAGCCTCGGTCTGTCCTGGAGGGCGAGAGAGTCACCTTCACCTGCCAGGCGTCTGCCAACCCTCCCATCATGGGCTTCAGGTGTGGAAGACGTTTTCAGTTCAACCTGAAAACATAGACCACATTTTTAGATCATTTTAGGGGTCCAAGTGCTAAATTGGTGCAAAGGTTTTGAATTTAGTCCCAAGTAAACTCCTTCAGCTGGCTTCTACGAGACGGTCTGTGATATCTGCAAATCATCTTTCAGTGTTTCAAATATGCCCAGTCAGGGACTTTCCTTTTAAAGTAGGCTTTACAGAAAGAATAGATACAGAGACGGAGCTTTTTGTACGCTTGGAGACGCTTTATTAAATACCAGAAACAGCTTTTGCAATGCTGACTGCAAAGCCTCCAGACTCCATTGACCAAAAAGAGTCATTTTAGCACGCAGCACACAGGACACAGGAGTTGTTTGTCTACTCGTGCCTCTATTGGCTAGTTTTTTTTATCATTACTTCAGGGTATAGAATGGTTACTTTACAGACTTTACACAAACACATTAAAACCAAGTTGATCGACTTAGTTGATGCAGCAGTAAAGCAGTTCTTCTCATGTCGCGGGTGGAAAAGTTGCTGTTTTTGTCTTGAAGCTTTACAGACAACATTATACGGGCTGTTTCTTGATTAAACCAAATCTAACCTTTACAAAAAAGTGTCTATTTCTTTATCAGTACGATACAATAAACAATAAACTGCAATAATCGAGCACTGTTCTAAATCAAAGTTAAAAGTGCTTCACAAAGGCAGAAAATAAAAACATCCATTTTGTTCCTTTCAGTCATGTTGTCAGACTGACATTGAATCCCAATTTGATTCTGTTAGTGCCAAAACCAACATTTGTTTGCACATTAGGGTTGGAAATTTACTCTTTTTAAGATTTAGGTAGAAATTGTCTTTAGGTCCCAAACAGAAATGCCTGTAAAAACTTTGACTTCGCTTTTGGTTGCAATCACTTTTTTTTTTAATCTTTTTTTTTAATCTGATCATTATTAAGTCTCCACTATGTGATCAAATTAAAGAAAATAGAGCCCAGGTAAGAATCTCAGAGTTTCCCTTTGATGTCTTCAAACTGTAAACGTCTGCTTACTTGTTTCACCACCACCTCCGAGTGTGATAGACTCTCTGATTTGTGGTCAGTGTTCTTCAGCGCCCGTGTTACATTAATTCCAACTTCAGGAGCCAGACTGCACTTGTGTTTAATGCCGATAGATTTACTTTCATCTATTCCAATCTTCTTGTAACCACCACCTGGAGCTGCTCCTGAATCGTAATTTCTGCTTGCAGAACAGAATTGGTGAAAGTATTGAACAATTGTTCAATTAAACATTGACTTTTATCTAAAGTGACAGCACTGAGGCAGGGAAATTGCTAAATGCTAAGGCTTTAAGTCGTCAGTGGTTTTAATCTGAGACTCCACCGGAGGGTCCCGGTGTGGGAGCTCTGCCAGGTACTTAAGCGCGGAGCCTATTGAGTGTATATGAGAATGTCATCTGATGGCAGATGTGCAATATGCTTGAATGATTTTGAGCTATATATCTGGCGAGATAGAGAATCCCTGACAGAAATTAAGATAGATTTATTTCTTCCACTTGCATCACTCCTGCAGCTTTTGACATCAGCACTTTCTGAATGTTAGTTTAACAGCTTTAATTGATAATATAGAGACACTCATTGTCTCCTAGTGGGGATCTAACATTTGGATCACCTCCAGAGAGCGATTAAAGCCCATCATGCTCCAGAGATGCGTCTCTGTCAGACTGAAATAATACTTGAATATTTGTGAAATGTGTTCCTCTTGTCAGGTGGGCGAAAGGTGGCGTGCTGCTGGAGGGCGCCAGAGAGAGTGTGTTTGTCACCACGGCCGATCACTCCTTCTTCACCGAGCCCGTCTCCTGTCAAGTGTTCAACGCCGTGGGAAGCACCAACGTCAGCATCTTGGTGGACGTGCACTGTGAGTAGTCTGTAAAAACCCTACTGAGCTGAGTCAGACTTTCTGTTAATGTTGTGTTCCAGCAGCGAAATGTATCAGTGTTTGTTTTAAGAGCCACACGGCGTTTGTTTAGTTACAGTACTCGTGTGGTGTGAAGAATAAAATGAGCTTTAGTTGGTCAATGCATCAGCTGTCATTCCAGTCTATTTCACTTTAACAGAGCTTTAGGAAAGCACACCTAATACCACAATATGCACACCTGTCAGTCAACTTAGCCACGCCCCTAAATGTACAAATGAATGAAAAGCGAATCTGCACTTTAAAAAAAACGTAGAGTAAAATATAAATACCCCCCTATAGTATTTACAAATCTTGAAATGAGCTTTAGACTGTATTAGTATGGGATTTGATTGGGAATCCTTGGCTTTTGCAGCCAGCCTCTAGTGGACACTTTAGGAACTGCACCTTTCTTTTTGCACTTCTGCATCAGTTTCATTTTTCAGAATTTGAGGTTGCCTCCTGGATAAGACAATGAAAAATCATGTCAGCACAGAATATAGAGTCAACAGAGGAGGGGGGGAAATGTACTACACTGAAACATCTCTCGTCAGAGTTTGAAAAGTTCCTCTCGGATAAGTTCCTCACTAAATTTGGGGCAAAATGTATTTTTAATCGTTGTAGATTTGTGGTGTTCTAGTAGGAAAATAGACTTCTGTCTCCACTTTATCTGTTTTGAGTTTCAATCATTTATTTCTTTCCAACCACAGTTTGTCTCTCTCACTCTTGTCACCTTCAGTTGGCCCGATACTGGTTGTGGAGCCCAGACCGGTCACTGTGGACGTGGACTCTGACGTCACTTTGAACTGCAAGTGGTCCGGCAACCCCCCTCTCACCCTCACCTGGACCAAAAGGGCTCCAACATGGTGAGAAGGAGCCATCCAACCTTTGCCTGACATGTGACCTCAAAGTCACGTGTGAAGTTTTTATTTTACAAACCCATCAAATATTAAAATTCAGAACACACGATATATGAGGGTAAAACCCCCAATTCCAACCTATATTAATATCTGAGAGCCAGACTGCATAAATGTTTGCTCAGTTTGCAAAGCAGACGATTAGAAGAGAGACTCAGTCTTCATATCTTAAATCTTTAATTCATGGCTAACAAGTGAAGAAAAGCTCCAGGAAAAAAAAAACTAATGGAGCCTGCTGAGTAAATCAACATGTTTTATGAATTAAATATAGATCTCCCTCCCTCCCTCTCCTCCTCCCTCTCATCCTCCCTCTCATCCCCCTCTTTTTTTGAACATCTCTCTGTCTGTCTCTGCTCTCCGTCTCACAGATCTACTCTCCCGCTCTTTATGCATACTTAAACTTGTGTAATGTGTGTGTGTGTGTGTGTGTGTGCAGGTGCTCAGCAACAACAACCAGCTCTATCTGAAGTCAGTGAGCCAGTCGGATGCAGGCCAGTATGTCTGCAAGGCCATCGTGCCCCGCATCGGAGTGGGAGAGACGGAGGTTACACTCACTGTCAACGGTTAGTTACTTCATAATTACTCTACTATCAATGAAAATACTGACTCAAGAAAAAGTGTAACATCTAGAGGAGTTATACCCACAGCTAAGCTGCTACATGGAAGATGACTTAAATACTCTACAGACCTAAGTTTTGTATTTGTATAAAATAATCACATGCATGTATCTAAATCTCATGAAGTAGATCATGGCACCCGTCTTGTATTACTGTCAACCTGGCCTGACTCATTCCAACTCAAGCCTGACCCAAACTCAACAAATACTTCTATAAGCCTAAATAGTTCCAAAGACAAAGACTTCCCCAAAGACACCATCAAGTACTTAATAAATCAATGTGATTCACTCTAACCCAAGGACCAAAACGGAGCACAAATATAAAGTTCTTAAATCTTCGTCTACTGATAAGGTGTCCGACACCAGAAAGAGGGCAGGGACATTCATTGGACCAGCCTTGTGGAATTTAAGGTTCCTGAAGGCGAGATGAGCTAGTGACTGCTCATTCCAAGGCAGACAATAAGTTAGCATTTTATTTGAAAGGGAAGCACTTATGACGTCCTCAAGACTGACTGCACATATTGTCTGTGTTGAGGCATAAAAAACACCCTTTGGGTTTGCTCTTTTCTGAGTTCTCATGCTGACTTTATACAATACCTGACACAAGACCTTAACCCGAGTCCTTCTGTATATTACTGTGGTAGGTTTTGATTTCTGGTTTATAATAGAACATTTTTTTACCGTCTACATGCATGTACAAACAGAGATTTGTCGTTGACTAGAAAGTGCAAATGTATGCAGATTAAAAGATAAGGTGACACATTTAAAACAATGGAACACACTTTGAAACACAACATATACATAGTGAAAGAGGAATAGAAAAACAGGCATATTTGGAGCTTTATCAAAGAAATTACCAGGTTCTTAAAGTGAACACAAAGGGGTGTTAATTTGAAATATAAAGTGGGTTGTGCAGTATGGCTGATTTTAAAGTATCCTCTCTGATTATGATATTTAATGGCAACTGGGACACACGATTTTTAAGACATTTTTTCTTTGCACTAGAAATCATCTGTTAATAGCTGCAGCACAGTCAAATCTGAACAATACAGAAATATATTCAGTTGAGGTTAGGCGTGCTCAAACTATTTCTTAAGCCATCTAATAATGGCTGATTAATAAGTGAGCAAAAGCTGTCGTAGCTCTTCATATATCCTACATTGTCATGTTGATCAAAGAAGAAGAAAAAGAGATGTTCTTTCTTTAAGTTGACAATTAAAAAAAAAGTCGATCTCATTCCCAGATGGCCTGCTTCCTTTGAATGAATTCTACTTTAGCTCTTCATAGACCAATCTAAAAAGGTCTGATTGACGTCTTTTTAAGCTGCTAAACTAGCACCAATGAACACACCTTTCACTTGCTTAATATTGCAAAAATTGTAAGCTTGCATGATGATGTAGAGGACTCAAACTTCACAAAGCTAATCATGTAAAGAATGGTGGTCCGTAGATTCAGTTTTAAAAGGTTAATGACTTGTTGTTTTGTTAAGTTTAGGGCTTGTGTATTTCTCCTACCCTACGTTATTGGTTGTAATAATTGTCACGTCTTCATGTTGTCTTCAGGCCCTCCAATCATCTCCAGTGATCCAGTCCAGTACGCTGTCAGAGGGGAGAGAGGAGAGATCAAGTGTTACATCGCCAGCACCCCCCCACCTGATAAGATTGTAAGTCCGGGTTTGGAAGTTGTAATCTGCTGCAGAAGTGCTCGACCTTTTTCAGATTGCATCTTTTCCTCAAACACAATCCTGATAAGAGCAGCTCCTTTTCCACCCTGAAAACAAAATGATTTTTACTCCCTTTCTATCCAAACGATCGGCCCCGAGTGGCATGGACCTCCGATTTTGTGACTAGTGTGTGTGAAGGATCTGTTCTCCCTCCGGTGAAAGGCTCAAGAGTGACTCTTCAAAATCAGCTGCTATTGTGTGTTGGATGACATGACAGAAATGCACAAAATGATCCATGAAATGTTGAAGTTCAGCAGATAGCAGAAATTGAGGACTGTTACCATGAGGTAGTTATCTGGGGGGGGCAGCAGTAGCTCAGTCTGTAGGGACCTGGCTTGGGATCCAGAGGCTCGCCAGTTTAAGTCCTGTTGCGGACTAAGTCTTGAAGTTGGTCTGGTAGCTGGAGGGTTTCCAAGTTCTCTTCCTGAGTACTGCCAAGGCGCCCTTGAGCAAAGCACCGAACCCCTAACTGCTCGGGCGCTCCTTCATGTGTCGCGCCTCACAACGACATTTCCCCATTAATGCATGTTCATGAGACCCTGCTCCATGTGCACATGTGTGTATGTAGCATGTCTTAATAACAGAGTGTAAAAGTAATTTCCCTCAGTGGGATTAATAAAGAATGACTTGTTATTCTAATTAAGCATTACAGCTGTTTCATGTGAGAATAGTCCAGGATGCGAACTTTTAATTGTTTCTTGTAATATATGTTACTGATGAGTGGAAAAGAAAATCTAATTATTGAAATATGATTACCTGGTCTGTCACGCAAGGACCGACAAAACCCACACAAATGTCAAAGCTAGTATTGCATCAACGGGACATAAATGCACACAGATAGAGGGGTGGGCAGGAGCTTGGGGTAGCAAGTCTAATGTTAGACTAAAGCCTATAGCAGCATAACGAGGAGCTGGTCCAAGCCTGAGCCAGCCGTAACTGTAAGCTTAGGGCACAAATGAAAGCTGTCATTCTAGGTTGTCTTACAGACCCCCTCAGAACCAAGCCTATAACTGGTTCAACAAGGGAGAAGAGTAAAAGTTGAAGACTATGCCTCCCATACTACTTTTTAAGACTCTAATTACTGCATCCAAACCTCTTTTATTACATGGCTTTTATGTTCTTTGCTTTAAGAAACCTAAAACATGTGTCTTAGCTCAGGCCTTAGAAGACAACCGATGAGTCCGGCGTACCTCCATATGTCTCCCAACCATTTGGGTCCATCATACAGTTCCTCCATTTAACTAGATCAGTCCGGCAAACTGACCGAATTGTTGATCTAGCTATCCGTGTTGACAAATTCTGCCACTTAGTGAACTCATTTTCTAGTGTAAAGTGTAAAACAGACTCAAGTCAGTAATTAATAACCAGGTAGATGGAGGTACTTCTTTTTTAATTCAATTCAATTCAATTTATTTTGTATAGCGTCAACTCATAACAAGTGTTATCTCAAGACACTTTACAAAAAGCAGGTAAAAATACCTTCCTCTTTGTCTGTTAACATTACAAAAGAGCAGGTAAAAAGACCTTGTTAACATTGTTATGTTACAAAGATCCGGCCTATCCATCATGAGCACTTTAGCAAAGCAGCAAAATTTACAGTGGTAAGAAAAAAGCAGTCACTCTCTCTATTGTAAGACGTGCGAGATCCCCGTCTTGTTGATCAGTACCTGTCCTTCACAGACAGTTTAAATCAGTGTTTCCAAACATTTCTTGACTTGTGACCTTTACAACCAAACCTGTGTCTCTCCGCTCTTATTGCTGGTTCTGACAAACGAGTGCTCTATCTGTGAAAAAAATGTAAATCCATAATCAGAGAGTAATGCTTTTCTCCCCTAAAACTATTTGTGTCAGGTCGCTCTTGAACAAAGCTTTTAAGGTTCTCAGATTGCATCAGCTTTCAACATAAATTGCCATCAGAAATTTCTATAATAAGTTACATATGGTGACTTTAAAAACCACTAACTGTTACTTTTCAACATGAAAGGTTCAGTGCACAATCCATGCCGTCTTGATTTTCGTATAAATTGCACCAACCAGCCGAACTGTTCCAATTCAGTGAACCCTTTCCAAGTGGTGGCCATCTTTTCTTGACAGGGAAGTGTTCACACAGATTGCCTCAGCAGCAAAGTGTAATGGAATATACTCCTGAATGTGCAGCCGCTGCAGCACTATGCTGTGTTTTCAGTCCTCCTTATCTTTCCCTGCATTACATTAGATACAAAACGACTAGTTTGGTGTGTGTGTGTGATATAAACCTTTGAAAAGAGGGTAATAGCAGAATTCTCATAAATCACAATTATGAGGCGGAAAATGGAAATAAATCCAGTAAGGACATTTGAGTTTGAAGGCTGGAACGAGTGTGAGGGTGAAACAGATTGAAACGAGAGGCAGAGAGATGGAGGGAGGGTAAAATTCTGTACCTTTCAGCGTCAATTATCCAATTGTGCAGCGCCGACATGACAGAAATCAGAGCTTTTAGAAGCTTCAGCCCCCTGCCGCAGTGGCAGAGAGCTCCGAGCGTATAATGTGATATGACATTATAGTCCTGGCTTAATGCAGAGACACAAAGACTTATAAAATATGGAGTATGATGCTGTGTGCCTGTGTGTGTGTGTGCCTGTGTGTGTGCGTGTGTAAAAGAGCAATGAGAGATTGAAAAAGAGAAACAGAAGGTGCCGCAACAAAATTATTTTGAGAAAAAGCAATAAAGACAGCAGGAAGATGGAGATTTTTTTTTAAAGTGGCAGTTTGGATTTTGAAGACGGAGCAGGAAAAAGATTGTTGTAGAGGGGAAATAAACATCAGAGTTGGGCTCTTTGTATTCTGTCCTCATCCACTCTTGGTCACATTCACCTTTTTTAACTTTTTTAAAATCAGGTTAAAAGGAACATTAGCCTGACATATGGCTCTATGTATATTTGATATCGCCACGCTCCATATTTAATATCCTCAAATTGCCACCACAGCGGATTTTAAGTAGAGGAAACCACTTGAGTTTTTATCGCCCTTGTTACACTCTTTGCTGCTCTGTGTGTTCTCTGATATATTTGTGAAATATCTCTTTCTCTGACTCGCCTTTAAAAGCTGCTGCAGGAATTGTAATTAGGTGTGAACCCCACCAGGAGTGAAAAAAAAACCGAGTAGTTACCATGGTGTGAGGATAAAAATAATCAGTTTTTCTTCAAATGTATTTCCTGCACAGACTCGCTTAACCTCTCTTAACAACGACCCATCTGTTTGCTGAACATTTACCTTTGATTATATGTGTGTGTGTGTGTGTGTGTGTGTGTGTGTGTGTGTGAGTCACTCTGGTTAATACAACAGAAGATAAGATAAAGGGAAATTAGCATTATTGATCCCCGAGGGGAAAGCGAGAGATTGCAGCAGTAAATAGAGGAGTTGGATAAAAATCACACAAATAAACATATTGAAAGTTGCGTCTTCATACAGGGCTTATATCGCCTTGAAGGATTCGGCCTGCTGTGTTGATTAGCGACAGATTTATAGATTTACTAATGTTTTAGAGTACTGATGTGGCAAGCCTTTGATCTCGACTTAATCCTACACTGACGCAGACTTACTTTTCCATTTTAATGCAATCCTTTAAAGTAGCGGATCACACAGAGGGAGGATTGGAGCAAGTTTTGCATACAGAGTGCTTCCGAACAGTTGATTTATATATGTGTTCATAACTTCATGTTCCACTTCTTACAGAATGTACAACACATACAAATAGCCGCAGATGAATGTCAAATTATTAAGAATTACAATGAAATGCATCGAAATAATTGAAGTGTAAAAAAGACATCTTCCTGCTGTCTCTTCCAGGCTTAAAATACAAATAAAAAGTATTTAATTGTGTGTTGCACAATCATTGTGTTAGAGCCAAACTTACCATTCAGAAACAAAAAAACAGAATCAAACAGCTTTACGGCACTAGTTCACACACCCAAACACCTAGCTGTGGGAGTGTCCCCACGTGGGGGAGGGGTTACTGCCTTTTGTGATGTCACAAAGGGAAAATCTCCAAACGGCCTGTTTGAGCACACATTTTCTGAAAAGTGGAGCAGACTAGTGACACGTTAGCGTTCAAAAACCAAGGTAACGTGTGTTCTGAATCATATGTGACCTTTGAGGTAATACCAAATTTTTCATACCTTTTTAGTTTATGAAAATTTAAATTAAGTAACAAAAAAGACCCAGGTTTGAGTTACTGTGATTTCATATACATGTGTTAGTCATCCCAATAAGGCTTTAAACAAATTTGACACACGTGAAGGCTAATGATCCCCCCTGAAATGTGTGTTTCAGGTTTGGGCGTGGAAGGAGAACGTGTGGGAGAAGGAGAAGGGCACCCTGATGGAGAGGTACACGGTGGAGCAGAGTAAGCCTCCATCCCAGGGCGGGGCCGTCCTCTCCACCCTCACCATCAACAACGTCATGGAGTCGGACTTCCACTCGCCTTACAACTGCACCGCCTGGAACTCGTTTGGACCCGGCACTATGATCATCACCCTGGAGGAGACAGGTACGGAAATGTGACAAATGAAGGATGAAATGAAAAAGAAATGTTAGAGATTGTGGATGTCAGTTGCTCAAACTTTGCTCTTGCCTCCAAAGTAACGGAAACAGTTTCATCGTTTGTTACTTCATTCTGAAGTGGAAAAGATGTTTGTCCCAGGTACTGTCAGGTTGTAGCCAAGGTTTTTTTTTTTAAAATGCATGGATGTGATTATGAGAACAGGATACAAGACTCCCAGATGTTTTCTGTTAACTCCGATGAAAGGTGCTCATCCAGAGAAACTTTTTCTGGTTTCATTTGTTGCCCTGCAAATAAAAATTCTTTCCTAGGCTTTGAGAAAGATTAAAGTCAGACGTTTAAGTGTTTTGTGTAGTTGAAAATATTAAGACTGACGATTCTTGTTGAGCTCTTTGCATATTTTCTGAGTCTTGGGGATATTTCTGTTGCAGTCATGCTGAACCTGTGGGGGAAACATTAGTAGTTAGGAAGACTCCCCACACAGTTCCCAGACCTCCTAATACAGCCATGATTGCTTCTACTAATCCAGAAAAGGTGGCACTGAGGACTCTTACAGGCAGCCTTTAGTCATTGAAAAACAAATGTAAGAAGAATGCCCGTGCAAAGATTATTTGCTTATGGTTTATGATGGTACGGACCTACAAGGCTGAAATAAAGTATAAAGTAAAGTTTGCAGTATTCTGAAAGATATGGAATACATTTTTCCAGTTTGGAAGTACCATGAAGTACGCACAGAGTACAACACATGAGAGGAGAAGACAACTTTAACAGGCCAGCTCACATGGATGTTAAGAAAGCAAATTTAAGAATTTCCTATAAAGCTAATGGAACAGTGGGAAACCTTCATTTCGAGTCGATTTTGGCGCCCCCCTGTGGACAAAGTAGTACATCTTATTAACTGATATTGTCCTTTAAATGTGTAAGTAATGCTTTCTGACAAAACATCTCATCCTGCTTTTAGTCAAATGTATCACTCAACTTTTTTTCTTCTCTGTTGAAAATGTAAATACGTTTTTTTCCTCAGCGAGCTGCTAATCTACTCATCTGACACCTACCCGGTGTCAGACATGGCAACATTAATAATAAGTAAAGAAATAATCCTTCTACTAGCTTATGGTCTGGTTTGCTTTTGTAGCTCATATAGAGGCGCTGGTTTTAATTTCAGCCAGTTTCATAAGCAGTTAAAAACTCCTCCCAGCAGCTTTAAAAAATATCTCTGCAAAACACAAGAAAAGAAAATTTGGGATTAAAGCATTTTTTTTTTTTTTTTTTTTACACAAAACACTTTTTTTCTTTGAATAAAAGTTTACATTGTAACTTTCTCACTGTCTCTTTAATGTGTGTGTGTGTGTGTGTGTGTGTGTGTGTGTGTGTGTGTGTGTGTGTGTGTGTGTGTGTGTGTGTGCGTTTATGCTCTCCTCTCCGTTACAAGCTGAAGTACCCTTGAGCAAAGCTGTTTGGCGGTGGCCTCAGCCGGAGGACACACAGGAGAGATAAGAGTGTTATGAGTCCATCCTGGCTGGCTCCGCGTTTTATTTTGAGAGCTTGCTGTGTCACATTACATTGAGAAAATGATTTCTTCATGCTCTGTCAGTCTTATCTGCCTCTTATTCTTTCAGCTGTCAGATTTCGCAGGCTTCACAAAATCTACCGAAACATCTCACACAGAGAGAGAGAGAGAGAGAGAGAGTGAGGGAGGGAGAGAGTGTGGATTTGTACCTCCATGTACACTAACAGTGTTTTTATCCCCTGTCTGAGTTGCATGCCTTATCAACATAAGCAGCCCTCAGAGATCCAACATTAAGCTACTGTAGGACACAACAGGATTTATGCTTAAACTGCACAGGTTTCTGTTACAATGAGGCAGCAGCTGTCCCTCAACCCCCCGACCTTTTTTTTTTTTCCCCGCTTGTGTTTGTTTCAGATATTGTTCCGGTGGGAATTATCGCCGGTGGTACGGTGGGCTCCTCAATTCTGCTGCTTATGTTCCTGCTGGCGGTCGCCTTCTTCCTCTACCGCCAACGCAAAGGCAGTGAGTGCACACACTGGTTCCCTAATGTGTGCATTTGTAGGAGTACACACACACACACACACACACACACACACATACGTTTTTACTGTATGTGTCTGTCAGTCTTCCTTTCTCTCTTTCTTCCACTCTTCCAATCTGTCACTCTCCACGTCTGAAGAAAGGAACACACGCCAGCGTTATAGCTTTTTATTCAAATGAGATTAATGAATATTCATACAACATGGCAAACTGCCGTAAAACGCCCACTGCATGTCGCTCTTTTCAGTCGACTGACATGCAATTGTGTGATGATTTTTCAAAATAAATCGTATTTATGTTCCGCTCCTACACTAGATAAAGCACATACATAACAAAGCGGCGACAACAGCATTTAAGGGTGAATAGTGTTTGAATTATGAATTCCTATATGTTATTTATACAGCCTGAGGCAATCCAATTAGCATTTATGAGCTCAAGCCGCTCTTAAGCAAAACCAGAGAGAGGAAGAGAACATGTGGTGCCTTTAAGTTGTTTAGTTTTTCAACCGTTCCTTTTTGCAAAACACAGAATCGGGAAAGACAATGAAGGTGACTGGCAGAGTTCCCCAGAGGGATTTTCGAGGGATAAGAGTATATTTTTTTCTGCTTTAAAGCTGATAACACACACAACAGAGAAGATATCATGCTGAAATAGAAACTCAAACAAACGTTGTTGTGGCTCCAGATAAGCCGTCTCTCATTTGTCGTGCGATTCAACTCCAGACAGCACGAGACTTCAGTCTTTCTCCTTTGAGGTTTCTGCTTTTGGGAGATTGTTGTTTATGTTGACAAATATTGACTTCACTGGTGCTGAGGATAGATCCGCTAAAGCTGGGAGTGTTATCGCTATAGGTTACATGGGGCAGCGTTTAACCCAGAGCTAAACCAGTTTTTATGCCCCAAAAGCCTCGTTCGGGGGCCGTGATGTGGAAGACTGTGTGACTAATTTAAATGAAACCCCTTTTAATGAAATGACATTAAACTTGTTTAATCTCTACCTGTGCATATTTAACCTTGTGCTGCTGCAGCCTTTATGTTAATTTGACAGCACTCAATTCAGACTTGTGTCACATTACAAGGTTAATAAGATTGCTGTCGTGACTTTTAAGTTAAAGTGACTCTGGCACTCGTTCAAATATGAGACAAACATATGAATGTGCCTGCACTTTACAGCGCAGTAACAAGTCATGACAGAAAAAACTGGAATTTGTCTAAGAAGTGTTTGAATCTTTGGAAGTCAGCTGTTCAGTGACATAACACAGTGTGTATGGTTTCTGTAAGACAACTTAAAGAATCTTAAAGTGGTTGTCAGTTGAAAGGTAGTATTTGCTCATTGTTGGTATAATGGTGGCTATAAAACAGCTGGCAAACGTTGTACAGACAGATACAAGGAGATTAAGCTAAAGCCAAAACTAACAGAGTCATGTTACCAGACAAATCTGAGCCTCAAATACAGACAAGAACAGGATCCAGAAGGATTAAAAAACTGCTAAACTAGTACAAAGCCTAGACTGAATACAAAACATGGACGTCGTCCCAGTGACATCACACATTACTTTCTTAAGTGGCATTATGAAGCCCAACGGTGGCGGTCCCCATATTGGAAGTGTCGACTCCATCTAATTTTGGCTAATCTAGAAGCAGGCAAAGAGGTGGAGTAGTAGCAGGTGAAATTATTATCTTGTTTGTTGAAACGACGTCTAGCTAGCAAATTACAAAGGATGAAAACAACACAAATCTGACAGTTTGAGGTCACATACGTTATTTATCTCTTAGCCTTAATAGAACAAAACAAAAACGGATGACTTATCAAAACTCACGAACACACCTCCAGTTTTTGTGAATAAAGAAATGAGCTATAGAGACCAAAACTTTTTTTTGGCTCAGGCGGTAAACATGTTTTTTTTTTTAATGCTGTAAAAATGACATTTTGGGCCTCCAGTGGGGATATCTTGATTTGTTGGGAGAAAACCTCAAGTGGATACTTCAGAAACTACAGTTTTTTCACTTCACATTTGCTTCACTTTTCAACACTTGGTACAAAGACAAACACAGTGTATAGTGGGGGGAAAATAAGGGATCTGTGTAGGTGTGCAACAAGCACAGGTGATGATAATCCAAGAGGAAATGTTGGACCAGGAAATGCGCCAAGATTTACTAAAACGTAAGCAAGGTTTTGGGTTGTCAATCTTTCCCTAAAGTTAACAAGCATAAAGGATGATGCAGCTCCCCAGAGCCAGCACAGCAGCTCCAAAAAGCACTACTCAACAACTCTATAGCTAACCAAAAAAAAAAAAAAAACAGCAGCGTATCTTGGCAAACGACACAGTTGGTCGAAAAAGTCTTTGGGAATTTATGAGCTTTCTTTTCTGAGCCATTATGTTGGTTTCCCATTTACAGGAAAGAGCCAGCATTGAGTGCAAACACCACAAGTTATTTCAGCACACACAGAAAGTGGAGCTTGTGGCTTGTGAGGAGATACCAGCTGAAAATTGTGAATTAGAAATTGTCTAATACAGTCATAAAATCTTCATCTTCATAATATCCAGACGTTTTCAAATGTTACCTCTGCCTACCTTTTGAGGCTGCCAGCTCGCCAAATTGATGAAACTAATATCAATAACAGAAATGAGAGATAATTCACAGTTTTAAGGCAGCACTAGACACAGAAAAATGTTGCTTTTGTTGTTTTGATTGCCTCTTTAACAAGGCTGAGAAATTAATCAATCATTTATCCTGACATGGACGTACAGCATGACCTGAGGTTGTTGTTTCTCTTCCAGGCCGACGGGGTGTCACCCTCGGTAAACCAGACATCAAGGTGGAGACGGTCAACAAAGAGACCCACAGCCTGGAGGAGGAGGCGGCTGATGTCTCCACGGCAACCCGGATGGTCAAGGCCATGTACTCCGTGAGTAGACGCCCATATCTGAGTCACCCGGGGGCCGAGGAGAGGAGGCGTATGGGTCAATGGCCTTGAATGTACAGACACTGACACAAAGGCCACGAAACATGGCAGGAGAGACACACACACACACATTTTCACTATTCAAAGTTCATGCACACTCGATGAAGTAGAAACACATATACGGAGCCTGGTGGCAAACAAACAAGCACATTTAAAAATACACGCATAGATACACTATTAGGAATGGTCAAGTTTAAACAACCTGCAAAAAGAAGACTCTCTCACTCTTTGCACATTAACGTCCATGAATGCACTCGTACTCACAAAGAGAAGAGACAGAGACACACACACACACTTCCTTAAATAAAGGAAAAGATCCAACTCTGGCAGTCGTGGGAAAATCAAGCAAGGCGGTTCCAAAACTCGGACTCAGGCCGCGTTTCCAACGACTAATCGTTTTTCGTCTTCCTCTCTCTTGGGATGAGAAACCTGAAACTCTGTTTTCCTCTCCCCTCTCTCTCTTCCTTCTCCTTTCCTTTTCTCGCCCTCCCTCTTTCCGTGTGTGTGTTTCGTTGTTTGATGGTTTAGTTTCTGCCCTCTGTTTCCCTCTCTCCCTCCACTCAGCCGTTCAAAGACGACATGGACCTGAAGCAGGACATCCGGAGCGAGGGGGACACCCGGGAGGAGTACGAGCTCAAGGTGAGAAGCTGGTTGCTGACATTTTTTTTTTTGCAGCTTGAACTGTATATCATGCATGATGCACAATCATAACATATTTCATGAACTTGTGGTCTTATCCATCATTAAGTGCTAATTACCAGCTCCTTGATTATCCTCCGCTTCACTATTTACACTCAAGTTAAGGGCTTTTTTCATGACCACCACTTTTAATAATTCAGCCTTTTAAATGTTAAAAAAAGGATGATTCTTCAAGCTTCAGTTCCAGGATTCTGCTTGGCCAGGTTGATCAGATCTCTTAGCCCCGGAGTGGAGTTAGAATCTCCGCATAATCACAAATCCCTGTGCGCTAATTGAAGTTTAATTACAAAACATGTAGAGTATTAAAAAGTGACCTAGTCAGATTAAACTTTTATTCTTCCTAATGGACAGCAGGGGGCGTTAGATAAATAAATCCAATCAGATGAAAACAATCCCCCAACTTTACATTTGATAAATACCTCAGTTAACATTGTCCTTATGATCCCTATTGCTAATTTTGAGTCTTTTTTAATCCAGCATGAATTTGATTTTCTTAATTATAGTAATGTATACGAAATAGCTTTTTGCTGAGTTTGCTTCAGGCTACCTGTGATTGTCACTACCATAATAACCTGTCGACCAGGATAGAGACTTAACAATGTGAATAAAAAAGGGTGCTTTAGCTCGGTTGGTGGAGAGGGTGCCAGATATGCAGAGGCTGCAGTCTCATCTCACTGGTCTCAGGTTTGACTCCCGATCCGCCCGTTCTCGCTCAACACCTTCATGTCTATCTTCAGCTGTCCTATCAAATGAAGGCAGAAAAGCCCCCCTAGAAAATCTGAAACAAAGCAAAGTTGTCTTTATATGGACAATAAAGTTTAGAAGAAAAAAAAACAAGATGGGGACAGCCAAAATGCCGAACACCAGGCTTCAACTTTGAGTTCATAAATCAATGGGAGTAGTTACTGCAGCTACATCCCCGAGTTATACGGGTCTATGCTCAATGCTTCCTGTCAGATAGAAACTAAGCTATATTCATCTTGAAGGTCTCTCATTATGTATCGTGTTCAAACACATACTGTGAGCCACATAAACCATATAGCATGAACAGCAGCACGCCACCAACTCCACCGACATCACCACCCATATCAGCCTGCAATGTGACCAACGACATCAAGTATTTACTTTTTAAAAAGTACGAAGGTAGAAGCATGACACAAGAGCTGAAGCCTCGTAGCTCCAAGAGTGGTAAAAGCAATTTGGGTTAAAAAAAAAGCTAAGAACCAAATGTAAAAGAGCTTCCCTTGCACAAACTAGCTATCTTCATCCCAATGTTGATGCTACTCTTGCACTTTGCAAATAAGATTCAAGGACTCATTTTTTCACCTCTGCTCACAGGATCCAACCAATGGCTACTACAACGTCCGAGCCACCACCCACGAGGAGGCGCGCCCCCAGTCCCGTGCCATCCACTACCAGGGAGAGTTCCGCTCCCCTAACCCCAACAACCGACCAGACGGTGCCACCTCCAGTGGACCTCCGGCTGCCGCCGCCGGTGCTGTTCCCCCCAGCGGTGTGCCAGGCTCAAGAGCCGGCTGCTATGACCCCCGCCCGCCTTCCAGGATGTCCCACGCCACCTACGCCCAGTTCAACACCTTCACCAGGGTGGCGCAGAGCCAGCAAGCTCCTCCCAATCCAGCGCTTCAGTCGCCTGGAGATTACCCTGGAGACTGCGGCTTGCTGGACAGCAATGCCCAGCTGGCGTATGACAACTATGGATACCCCTCCCAGTACCCCAGCTACCGCATGGGCTTTGCTCCTCCACCCATAGAGGAAGGTCCGGCCTATGAAATGTATCCAACAGGTCAAGGGACCGGGCCAGGACCTGGACCAGGGCCAGGGCCGGGTCCAGGGCCCGGACAACAAAGTCCTGAAGCAGGACTAGGGCAGTACGGAACCGCCACTCGTTTCTCTTACTCGTCTCCGCCCTCTGACTATTCCCAAAGACACACACAGCGGATGCAGACTCATGTTTGAGCAACACAGACAGCAGTACTTAAAAAAAAAACCATTAAACAAACCTTAATATGAAAACAATTAATCATACTTTTTTTTGTTTCCATCGCATCAAGTGCATGGGATTCGGTTCAATTTCTGAACCAACAAAAACACCTCAACAACGCACAGCAGTTAGCAGCATCACCTACAAAACAGTTAGCAGCAATACATGCGACACATGCAAAGTGACATTCACACACACAACAGACCTTCTGCTGCGTGCAGCGTTTATGCTCCATGAAAAAGCAACAGCGAGAGCCACAATCATAAGAGACAAAAGGAGAAGAAGAGCACTTTGAGGACAGGAAGAGGAAGAAGAAGAAGAAGAGGGCCAGGAGCTGAAGAGGAGCCTTTTTTTCTTCTTACTCCTGGATCATCACCCTGCATCACATCTTCCTCCCAAACCCATCTCTGTAAATAAGTGCAAATGGAGATTAGGGTCATTTTGGATTTCCTTGTACAAACCTAAACAGTGTGATGCAGTACAGTGACCTACAGCAAACCTTCCAGTAATCCAACACGTTCTGACTCTTAACATACTGCAAAAACACACACTCATACACACAGATCTTAAAATACTTATTTGTTTCTATGTATTGCAGCAACAGGGGCAGCTCAGACAAAAAAAATATCTGGCACTTTTTGATCCTTTTCCCTCACTTAAACCTGCCCAATTCTTACAAGATCTACCTTGAATGAAGTGGGACAGAGTTTCCTAAAGGGGTGTAAGTAAGTGACCAGAGTGCCAATGCTTATGTGCCAACACACAAACTATTAATGTGTGTCTTCTTTTTTGTAAAATTGAACGATGAGATGCTGTGGACAAAGAGGTTTTGTACATGCCACTGAGAGGAAAGAAAAGAAGCGGTAGCAAGCGTCTCTATGAGCTCATCGTCCACTTCATCTCTCATTTTGTATCATCATGACGCATTCCTAAACTTAACATTTCACTCAAGGTCATTGCTGTGTGTATATGGTTTTTGTGAAGCGAGGTGTTACGGGAGTGCTTTCTCATTTAGCTAAATTCTGCAATTTGTACAAAAAGATACCTCCCCTACCCTCAAGTGTCATTTGTTTCTCTCACTTGCACAGTAGAATAGATTTTTTTTCCATATTTATACGGAAATGTATGAAAAAAAAATGGCATTCAGAAACATTTTATAGTATTTTTATAAGGAGTTGTGGACCAAAGGTTCAGCATTTTGGGTGAAACTCACTTTTTAATGTGTACGTGGAGACGCGATCGTTAACTGGAAACCTTTTGAGTTTCTCTAAAAAAAACGATGGATGGTGTTTTTCAAGTGGATGATGTGTAGACTTAAAATTAGAACATTTTGAAGAGTTTCTTTCCAAAAATGATAAATATCTACCAATCAGTTTGATGGATATCTCTTTTTGGCTTGAAACCCTTTCTTTGACTTCCGGTCTTCTGACTGGACTGCCTTTTACAAACGTCGACGACATTCAAAATGATGGATGGAGATCAAGCAGCTGCTCACTTTGAGCCGTGCTGAGAACTTTGTAAGCAACGAGAAGATCCAAGTGTTGTCTAACATATCAAAATGAAGGTACAGATGGTTCAATCTAGCTCATATGGTACTTTGTACATTTATATGTAAGTATGCTGGTTTGTTCAGTGCAACAGAAAAATTTGGTGGCATTTCTCGTCGGAGATTTTTCCTTTCAATTGTGTCCGCTTTGGTACGTGTGATTCGCCTGTAACAGCATGGGTTCATAAATATCAGCCTTTAAAGTGTTGCTTCTCTACTCTGATTTCTAATGATGCAGCTTCTGTAAAAGCTCCCATTTTAATGAATCTCCATCACCCCATTGTTAAGCCTGGGTTTTAGACGTTCCATGGGACAGAGACGTTACAGACGTGGACTTGTGGTTGAAATTGAAAATGCTGTTGATATCAAAACCCAAACACTGTGTAGGAATTTACCTCCAAGTTGATTCACATAGAATTCTGATTGAAATTTTAAATTGGGTATTCGTCAAAATTCAGGGTTGGGTTACAGACCGCCACTGTTTGATAGCTTTTAATTGTGGTTGTATTGAAAAGTGGGTTGACATTCAAACCCAACGTTGGCTTGTCAGAAACAAACAACCCTGACGTAGGCTCCTTTTCTTTCTTTTTTTCAAAATTGAACTGCCAAATTGGTCAAAACCAAAATGTTTGGTTGACAATCAATCCTCAGCATTGGACAGACATTGACTTGTGGTTGGATGAAATGATCGTCTTCATGCCAAATCCCGATGTTGTCTTGACATTAACCAGAAAGAATGGCCGACATTTTATTTCGGTCGGATTTGAAAATTTGATATTTACTAAAATCCAACTCCCAACATTGGACAGACCTAAAATCCCGGTAAGAAACCTAAAGTGTGTTGACGTTAAATCCCACCATTGGCTTGCCATCACCCTGCTTTGTTAACGTGTGTAGAATTTTTAGTCCAAATGTTGATGAATACAAGTTCAAACTAAGCAATAGGTGATCATTTACCTCAAACATTAGGCAGACATTGAATTGTGGTTGGAAATGAAAATCAGGCTGACGCTTGACATACTAATTACCAACATTTTATAAATGAAATTTTGTTTCCAGTTTTACAAAGTTTGTAAAAACTCTTAACAATGTGTATACGTGGAGATACGACATTTGTAAGCTACAGTAAGAAATAGTTGGAAATTGAATCCGCATGATTTCAAGAGCCAACATTTGCTTGACATCTATAACCAACTCTGACAGACTATGAGCTTGCTTGAAAATTAAAAATCAAATATCCATCAAAACCCAACGTGTGCTTGACATCAACCTCTTACAACGCAGTTCAGCAAAGCTGTTTGATCCATTCAATCAAATATCCTTTTCTGGCCTGAGACTTAAATCCTGTATCATGTTTTAAGCTAAAAGGCTAAATTAGTTCTTTTCTTTCAACGTACAGAAAAGCTCCTAACTATTGATGAAACCATTGACCTGGCTTTTTTTTTTTTGGACAGTCGTGCAGAACTTTGAACCTTAAATATCTCCAATTAGCATTCGCCTTTAAAAATATATTCAAGCTGCTGCGAAAGATCATCATTAAGGAAGCAAACACAATATCCGATTGGTTGTCAATGAGTAAAAGAAACTATGTTTTGGCCAGATTTTGTGGGAGAATTCTCTGGATGCTTATCTCTATAAGACATCATTTGACCTCTGCCAATATCTGGAAATGTTGTGTGGTGTTAGTGCATCACTGAAAGCATTTGTCTTAACAAGCTACTTACAGGAAAAACAGTTGATACTGTATCGTCTGCAATAAAGTTCCAGTCACACTGAGCTGTCTTCAAATTACCATTGGACACCATCATGAGTTGATTACCATTAGCAGCTTAAAATGATGAGGTTGCAACACAGAAACAACTGTTTTTTGTTTTAAGGGACGTTAAATGATGATCATTTAAACTTGTTTTGGCAGTTACCAGAAATTGCTTCCACATTTTATTCCAACTGTTTCTTCAGGGCAAGTATGCTTTATCGGATTGTCAAAGTGGGACTTAAGGCACCAAAGAGCCCCCCACTTCTCTTTCCACCACACATTTTAAAGCAGTTTAAATTACATCAAGTGACACCGTGCTTCATAAAGAGACCAGAGGCTGCGAAGTGAAGCCAGAAATCTCAGCAACTTTACTATTTAATCATTGAGTCTTTATATTTATCAGCCACCCTATCAACCCCTCACAGATACAGTATATTATGGTAATCTTCTGCTATGGGGCTGTAAAACCTGTATTTATTGCCCCTATTTTGAATAAACACTCTCAGAAAGGAAACCAGAGCCACGCCACTCCTGATTAGAATATCAGATGAAGCCTCGTAGCTCCAAGGTCACTATATATATATATATATATATATATATATATATATATATATAAAGCATTTCAGTAGTTATGGAGAGAAGAACGGCAGATGGAGCGCCCTTTTAAATTTATATGGTTATCACAGCCTCAGTACTGCATACTATTACCTCTTTACAACCTTTTTACAGAGTTGTAGCCGTGCAGTATTTTGCATCCGACTTGAAATGTCATCTTGACCTTGTGTAGAATGAGAAAATGTGACACTGATGAGGTACTGAGGCCAACAAAAAAACACATGCAGGCCATCCAGGTACTTCGTCATTGTTGCTTCAGTATTTACATTGTGACAGTCAGGACGTGTAATTATATTTAGGACGCCATAAATGCCAATAATGCAAAACAGATGTCAAGATTTGGTTCAGAAATGGGGAAAAAATAGAAAGATTTGAAGGGGAATATGGAATCGTTTTTACTCCATCGAATTGTTTCACGTCCTTTTCATTCTCTCATATTAACCACCGCCTGTACCAGGTCGACTTCATTTAAAGGCATCACATCATGGAAAACCTCTCTTACAGTATTTTGTTTATTATAATTTTATTATAAGATGAAAACATGGAGAAAGTATAACAGCTGTGTGTATGTTGAGGGGGGATTGTTTTTTGTTTTTTTTACAGAATATATAGTTACATGAGGTCATAACATCAACCTCTGTGTTGTTTTATGTCAACTTTCTTATATAAAGATATTATTTCAATGAATTATTTTATGTTTGTATCACAGGTGGAGGAAATGACTTCAGTTAGAAGTGTTTCAGATTTTATATGGTGTGTTTCATTTGATTAATCAGAGCTGCTTGAAAAAATATACATGTGTTTCTGTGGCATACACGACTCCTCAGCCAGGCCACAAATAGTCAAAAACTCTGTCTCAACTAGGCCAAACCAGGCTAGAAGCAGGCCAGACACTGCTGCACACTGCTCTGTTCCATGCTGTGCTGTGCCGTGCCATCCCGGCCAACACTGACTCAAGTGGCTCGATGTCCATTTTTACCTTTTGCAGTGTTCAGTGAGTGCCAAAAGACTGTGCGGGAAAAAAAAAAAACTAACTGAGCAGACAAACTAAATGCAGCAGTCGTTTGTGTTAATGGGGTTTATGTGGCTGTATGCTTGAGGGTGATACTGTGTGTTGGTGTGTCCGAGTGTGCGTGTGCTATACCCGCTTCTGTCTCACATACAGTGTGTGCTGTGGACATGCATGTGTGTGTTTACATGTGTGTTTGCAGCCTGTGACACCAGTTTTATTCATACCATCAGAAATGTGTTGAGCCTGCTGACTGTAGAGATTAGGGGTTTGACTGATCGGGAAATGTTGATTAGATCAGAGTTTTGTTGGGTGTCGTCTGCTGGTATGATGGAGTTTCCTCCTGACCACAGGTACACAGTCTTCAACAGGGATGCATGAGGTCAACATCGGTATCGACCAATATTGGCCCTGTTGACAGACATCGGCACTTTGGTGCATAATGTGGCATGAACCGATGTTTATTTGTTGTGCCAAATCAATTAAAAGCTGCCATCTAGTCAACCTAACTACTGATGCAGAGAATAGTTTTTTCATTGGATAGATGAAGTCACCAGTTGAACAAACTCTGACATTGGTATCGGCTAAATGAAATCAAAATGGTACCATTGTAACCATGTGTCCTACTTTCAATTAAATACCCTCGACATTTATCTTTTCAGCGTTAGTTGCAGAGCCAGTCTGTAATATACAGTGACTCGTATATTGCTAGAGCTTATTAAGAACTAGACAAAAACACATCACGGCTTTGTGGTTATAGGATTGAGGATAGTTGCGTCATCATTCTGTGCTGGCCAACAAGAGGACTTACAATGTCTCTGAAATCAAAGACAAACAGTGTGGAATAAATCACTGCAGCTTAATGATTTCTTTTATTTCACCTTTTTGGAAATCGCTGTTACATTAGCGTATTTCCTCAATCATTGGAGAGCGTTTTTTTTATTCCTTCTAGCAGCTGATAGTATACTGCTGTGCAACTTACAAGGACACAAACTAATCAAAATAACCCAGACTCAGAAACAAAGATTAGCCAAAATAACCTCGATGTCACACTGGATGATGAAGTGGATAATTAGGCTTTTGAACAGACACACAATCTTTTCTTGGCAGCCTCTTTGGTGCCCCTAGTGGATACATAGGCTACTTTTTACCATTAACTGTATATAAAGATGGATAGTGTGCCTCCATGTCCTCCGATTGAACCAAAGTGAAGCCAAAACACCCCGCAATGGACTCTGACATATTGCACATTTGAAGCTTGAGTCTGCAGTGTAAGGATCAGCTAGATGGGCTACTGTGTTAAATCCTGCCATGCATTCGTCCACTGAGCTGTCAATCATGGCATTTTGCCCCCTTTTTAAAAGCATCAAATAACTTATTTTAGCCCGAGTGTTCGACTGTCTGAGTTTAGTTTTAATAAGAAATATAAAAAAGTAACTACAAAGACAGAAACTAAGTTTTAGAGAAATGAGTTGGACCTTTGTCACATCTGTTAACATGGAGGAGGCGGAGCTTAGGGCCTATTCTGCAGCCAGTCAATAGGGGGAGCTCAAAATGTTTTGGCTTCACTTTCAGGGAGCTACTGTGCCGTCTATCTTTTTATACAGTCTGTATTTAGTATGTTAATGCACTTGAGGTTACCGCCACTTAACACAAATCAACCAGGATTTAAACGAGTTGTGGATTATCACTTTAAGATGCCTTAAGGAGCCTCAAACCATAACGCAAATTTGTCTAGATTTGAATGTCAAGTGGATCTTTAAGAAAGCAGGAATCGATCTATATTTACTTTTTTTTTTTTTTAAACTGAAAGATAGTAAATATTTTCAACAAAGAAACCATGTCAGTCAAACCCCAATACAGAGCAGGACAGCTGGTAGGACAGAGTGAAGGATACATTGTGTGGCCTTAGGGTACAAGGAAGGAGACAAGTTTGTCCTCTTACTCCTCCTCCAGCTGCTGAGGCTGTCTGCTCGCTGAAACAGCTGCACGAGTGGACAGGATGAATTGTTATTCGGCTCTGTGTCATTTAGCATATGCAGACACTGATAAATACAGCGAGGGAGATTCCATATATCTCTTGAGAGAGTCTGAAGTGGAGGTGTGCATGCAGGTGAGAGAGGGACGGTGTGGGTGTTCAGATACGCAGATATCCTCCATACTTCTTTACTTTTGAACCACAGTGTGTATTCTGTTCATATTGGTTGTGTGCTTCATTTTATCCCTCTTAATCAAGAAAAAAAAACCTGTACAAAACAAGATATTATCAAAATGTTGCTTTATTTTCATGTTACTCTGTTTGGATTCTGTTTCTTTTTTTTTTTCTTTCAAAATGTATGTAATTATTTTTTCACAGTATTACAAAAAAAATAAAAGAAGACACGGCTTTCATAAGAACAGCAGCAGAGACTTCTTTATTTTCTTTGAAACCTGTCTGTGGAGAAACTGTTGTAGTACATTTTGTATTTTTTATTTGTAAAAGTAAGTGCTGCTCTAAGTTTGAACTACTTTTACATCCTGAGGCATAACAAGAAAGGACACCTCTAAAGTCAGAGTGTAATGTTTACAGCGTATCCACAATGGCGACGGGAGAAGCAACAGACTGTTCTTTCTTCACCTCATCTCATCAGTCCTCCTCTCCACTCGCTCCATTTCTCTCTGTTCTTTACTTCCTTTAACTTCTTCTTTTCTTTACTTCTTAGGCACCTCCCTTCCACCATCTTTCCTTAGTCATCCTTTTTTTTGTCTTTTTCATCTTTTTACCAATTCTCCTCCTCTCCTTTCCTTCTCTAACATTTCCTCTTGTCTCTTCTCTTTCAGTCTCATCATGTCTTTAATCCTCTCTTTTCTTTGGTCTTCCCTTCATCCTCCAATTTCCTTCTTTCCTCTCCTCTTTCTTCATGTCCTCTTCATTCATCTCTTCTGCCTTCACTTCTTACTCCTCATTTCATCTCACCTCTTTTCAGTTTTCACATCTTTTCTTCCTCTTCCTCTTCATCTCCACTTTCTTTTTCTTCTTTTACATCTCCTACCACCTCAATACACAACTTCCCATCCACCTCCTCTGATGTTTCTTTTCTTCATCTACTCTCCTCTTTCTTCTCTTCTCCTTTCATCTCTCCTGCTTCCATTTCTCTCCTTTTCCCTCGCTCCATCTTGTCTTTTCTCTAAAGTTCACTCCAGGTTTTTTCCTCTTTTTCTCCCCCTTTTAACCTCTCATGTCCCCTCTTCATGATTTGCTGTCCCTCTTGTCCACCTTATTTGCCATTCTTTGTCTTCCCCTCTCATTTCATTCCCTCTCGTCTCTCAAATCTTCTTGTTTATCACCTCTTTTTTTCGTCTTCAAATCTCAATTTTCACACTTTTCACCCCTCTGCAACCTCTTTTCTCCCCCAGCTTCGTCTCTTTACGTCTCTTTACGTCTCTTTATGTCTCCACACTCCTCTTCTTTTACATTTCTCTCCTCAGTCCTCCCCTCCTGTCCTCTAATGACAGGAAAAATGAGGCTGCGGAGGAAAAAGCGAGAAGAAAGAACAGATATGACAGGAGAAAAGGAGACAAGGACAGGAGAAAGACAGGAAGCATTAGCCCCACTCCCTCCCTCCCTCTTGCCTCATCTTTACTTAGTGTGTAATAGTGATTATCGTCTCCTCGCTCCTCCTGCTCTCATTGAGGAAAAATGTCTGGAATAACCTTCAGCTCCGCACTCCCGACTCCAGTGGACCCCCAACCGCCCCCCCCCTTCTCCACCACCTCCACTTCCATTTTATCCCCTTGTTCACATTTGAAGCGGTCGTTGTACGGATTATGGCCCCTCTCATGCTTGGCACGGCTCTCAGCGCTCCAGATATATTATCATATTAGTGGAGAATGATGTAATGCAATTCAAGACATTTGTCCTTCGCACACCCTCTGTCCCTCCGCAGATGATGTCACAAGCTTTGTGTCTCCGAGGCAGAGAACTTCTCAATTTTGGTCGGTGATTAACTTTGGGGTTGTCGCCATCTAGTGGTGGGAGAGGAGAACTGCGAGGATGGGTGGAAATCAAGAGAAAGGCAGGTAAATTAGGATGAAGGCTATTATTTATAACTGAAGCAGAGGATAATGGGAGTCATAATAGACGTCCTTGGTGTAACTGTACTGACGGGGCATGTTGGGTCAGGGACAGAAACAAAGAGACAGACACTGTGGACATGACTTGATTACAAATGCAGTTAAAAAAAATGCATTGAAGAGCTTGCCGGAAATAACTGGATCTTTTTGTCGTTTTATTTCAGTCCGCATTAACAATTTCTCTAAACCAGAATTAAAAGCACAAAGAAGTTACTTGAAAATGATTTGAAAAAAATGCATTTAGAGATTAAACCGACATAAAAGGTGTAGACTAAAGCTTCAGTTTATTATGCTCCACCTTTTTTACAGACTATATTCTGTTAGGCAACCCTTCATCTACAGACTAAAAAAAAAAAGTAAAAAAACTGAACAGCCGTGCTAAAAGTCACACCTAATCCAATCCAATTCAACTTTATTTATAGAGCACATTTAAAAACAACAGAGTTGACCAAAGTGCTTTACATCAAATAAACAATGACAATAGACAAAGCAAAAACGAAGCAGACAAAAAAGAAAAAAAAAACCTAAGCACGTGTATTTGTCTAATTGGTAGTCTAAAATATATCTATAGTAACTACCCATATTTAACTAATGTTTTTATTTTTTTTCAGTGAATGTTTCAATATTGATTAGTAAATGATAATTATCATTATATTTAAAGTTGTTTATATTGAGCAAGCCCGGATTCTGACATACTTGATCTCAAACTAAACAATTACCATGTTATGCTATAAAGACTGCAAACATGTATGTAAACTAAATTTGACTTCAAGCAACATCATGATGGACTTTGGTTTGGTGCTCTTTGGCGCCAGCTGTCGGTCTCTGAATGAAACTGCACTGTCATAAAACACACTTAGTACTAACATCGCCATCTCTGAGCCTACTGTTCTTCCAAGCCTGTCCAATATTTCCTCTAGTCCAGCATCTTGCTTGTTCACTTTCTCTTTTCCGGTCACTGTCCTCTTCTTCTCTCAGCCTCGGTCCATGCTTCTCTCTCCAAAAGACTGTTTGGTATGATGGCAAAGTAGCATAGGCTGAAAGCAGGCAACTGGGGCGCCCTGTTGAAATGGGATTAGAGCCATTCTCCCTGGTGAAAGTATATTTTACTACTAGATGATTTAAGATGGAGAAAGATCATATTGATGCTTTAATTTTTTAACAATGCACATTTACTGTTTTAATGAATTTAAATACATTTTAAATCTATTTCTCCTGCTCCTTGTAATAGTAAATGGGTCTATGTTTTATTACTCTCATATTAAATCAGCCTCAGTGAATAAAATATGCTGTACAATTAAAGCCGCCTTACCTATTATTTTACAGCTCCTGTGAGGAGTTTTTCTCTGGTTTTGAAATTGACTGATATTAATATAAACGGCCCCTAATGATCGACACAAGCAAGTCAAATCATCGGCATACAGACGTTTGTTTCTATATAGTTATGTTTAATATCTGATAACGCCACAGGGGGGTAGGTGTCAGACAAAGTGATTAACTGCACTCTGCCAAAACAGCTTTTTTTTCACGGGAGCTTTAAATAAAATATAACAAGTTAAAGAAAAAAAATTACACAATTAATAGTCATTGTTTCACCACATGGCAGAAACTTTTCAGAAAGGTGCTGTTGACATCACAAGCGCTCTTTTCCAAATGTTATATTCCCTGTTGTTTTGCCGCCTATGGATCGTGTCTTGAACCGATATTCTCTTTGCTCCATGTCTGATCGGGAAATAAACAATCTAAAATAAAAAAAACATACAGTAAAAAAGTAACGACGCCGAGTCGGTCAAACAGCAGCCAACGTCAACAGGCTGTTGTCATCGAGACAGGACGGAGGTTTTTTCTGCCCGGAAAGAACGCTATGTGGATCCAGCACTGGGCCTTAAAGAAACCCTAATAAATAATACTCTCCAGGAAAACAAGCGTGTTTAATGTGATAAAATCAAATATCAGTGACAGCTCAAGCTCCAAAATCAGACAAGTGTCGGAATGAATGATCATTTATCATGTTTTTAAACTATATCATAGTCTTAACAAGATCAACATCTCTGTGTTAAAAGAAACACAAGAACCAGAGATGACCACATAAACTGCACCCATGAAAACCACAAAAAAAAGACCAGACGACAAACAAGCAGTTAATCAAGGAATCACAGCAGTCATAAAAACATCAGACAGTAAATCCCCGAGGGGAACAAGGATAATGTATCTTGAGGGCAGTCCAGAGTTATTGGTCTACCTCGATATACGACGTGTGCATACTGATATATTTTGTATTCCATTCAAATGTTGTAAGAAAGTCAAAGTGTAAGAATGTAGGACATTATATGTGGGTCCCTGGAGTACTTAACAAAAGGGAAGAAGAAGCTTAGACTACGCGAGGAGAGAAGCCTGTAGCACTGTTTATTCAGAATCCTCTGATGATTATCGAAAACAAAGACAGAACATTCAGAAGCAAGGCCAGACAAAAAAGAGCTGCTGGGTCTTTACTAACTGCAAACACTGTGTTCACTTTTGTCTTCACGTTTTCTATCCTGAAACACGTCCTTTGTCTCGGCGGAGGAAGTTAATTCATTAAGGAATACATGTAAAAACATGTGAGCACAAAAGTAACCTTGTGGAGATGGTCGCTGCATGGTCTCCTGCTGTCTCCATTAGTTGACTGTTTGGTGTTTGAAACGGTTTGTTCAGATTCCAACACAGATATTCAAAACACACTGACACAAAAAAACTAACCAACAGAGGCAGTGGAAGTCGACTCCTGTGGCCTGTTATCCTACGGTGGCTTTGAAGAGATGTAACGGCTGCTTCATGTTTTAAAAAAACAAAGAAAGCCTCTTATTCTTCAATAAAAAAAGGTTTATCTATGTTGCAATCCTGTCTATAAAATTATCATCAGAGCCTGTCAGAAGCAAAAGCCAGCACTTGAAGTGGACATACTTTGATCACCTGTGATGGCCCTAAAGGATTACATTCCAGAAATCACAGATATTTTGTAGCTGCTCTCTGAGGTCTCTACTGAACTCCAGAATTAGTTGTAAGCTATGTACACCTTAAAGGCTTTATATGCGTTTTTTTTGATCCAGCAGATGTCGCCCTTGAGCACCAGCATGAAACCAAAACAACTTGCGCTGCATTGTCGTGTTAGCATGCTAATGCTAGCGATCTTTATTATACTCGTATCTTCACACTGCATGTAAATTTACCTGAAATGAGCGTGATCTAGAAACACAGTTAAACAGTGAGTACAGTATGTTATTCTTCTTTTCTCTAGTCCCTCAATTAA